ACATGTATCACATGTGTTTCGTTGTAGTGCAGGACTGAAGTCCGAGACACTCTCAGGAGTCAAGCTGCATAACACGGTGACCCACCCAAGGACTGTCCGAGCTCGACGTTGCTCAACTTCAACTGATTCGTGACCTGAGCTCTACGCACTGGACCACACACAACTACTCATGATTATGTCAAATGTTTTGGTGTGTATATGGCAAAGTGGAAAGAGAGTATTGAAAAGTTTTAAAGTTCCGCCAAATTCAGTCGAAGCCAAATTTGTTGGCATGGAAACGCAAAACATATTTTATTCAGAATTCCAAAACTACCAAAAGGCACCTGTACACTACCAGACCTATAACTAACACTGTGCAAATTTGGGGAGTTTGGTGAAGAAATAGTGAACGGTTTTAAAGTTCTCCTCCGGAAAAGAGCTCTACCACCAAATTCAGTCGAGGTCGTACTTGTCATGAAAACGCAAAAAAATATTTTATTCAGAATTCCAAAACTACCACGCTGACGGCTTTCCCAGATCGAGTCTCCCGGCATAGTTGGCTGAGACTGCAAGTCTTGGATGGACATGAGTAAGTCGTGACCTTCAAACAGGAGTGAGTGTTGTTATATCACTGAATCGAATGAGCTCAGATCACATTTGTTCTTGTGTTTATCTGATGCATTGTTAAATTTCAAGTTTATTTAGTTTCTTGTTTAATTATAATAATTTGTATAACCAGTGAGTGAGTTTTATGGATGAGAGCAATTAAATTTGTTATTGGGGGCGTGGTGGGCGAACTGGGTAAGGCACCAGGCTAGTGATCCAGCGACCATGAGGTGCCGGGATCGAGTCTACCTGTGACCAGGTGTAAAAACCTTGGAGTCAACTTGGTGTGCTGACTCATTCAGTATTGCCACAACCCCTAGTGTATAGTACACAACCCTGTGCACTTTAAAGAACCCTATAATCCGTTGGTATATGACCCGATGGTGCAAACACCTAGTTGGACAAAGTACTGTGACGATGTGTCCCAGTTGTTAATGAGTGCCTCGTAAAGATGGGACAGCCGCAATAACTCGTTGCGCCTTGTGGCAGCAAGAGTTGTGTGCTCCCCAGGGAGCTGAGACTGATATAAGATGTGCCGTTGAGATTGACATCCAATGATCGAGGGAAAAATACCATCACCTTGAGCATGCATTAGTGCGTGGTTATGTACGCTATATAAATATCCAATATAAATAGATAAAAAAAGTGAAGGCACTCATAAAGACCAAGCTCCTCGATGTGAGTGCCGGTCTAATATACCATTCAAAAAAAGTAGCGGACAATCCATTGTGCGAGCATACCACTAGCCAATGCTAATGCATATGAGAAAAAGTAATATATAATAGGAATTTAACAGGTTAAATTCGGTTTTCATTTAGTGGTAGGAATATTGTATTTCGTATAGTGAGCAGAGTTGCTTCCCCTGGATGACGACACTAACATTAGCAAGCAAGGTGGCATGGCGTGCACGGCGAAAATTTAAATTAAAAATTATAATTTTAAGCTATTTAATCCACAAAGATCTGCGTCTCTCGGATCTCTCTGTTTGTGAAGGAGGGTACTTCCTGAACCTGAAAGTGACAAAAACATTGCAGTTTAGAGAGCGGCAGATGGGGCTTCTGCTGCCCAGAGATGAAGGTAAAGCAGTGTGCCCTGCAGCAGCTCTGGATAATCTGCTCCAGAGTGAAAGATACCATGACCCAGAGCACGTGGGCGTTTGAATTTGGGGTAACGGGAGAAATCTTTCAGGCCCTGGGCTTTTGTAAAAGTGACACTTATTTGAGATACATGGACAAAGTTGAGAGCCTTTGCACAGTTTGTTCAATCGTTGTCAGAGTTTTCAAGTTAGTTTATTATTGTTAATGTTATCTACAGTTTTCCCCCGAATACCTTACTCCTTCTTTTCTCTAGGGTTGGGAATGTTTTAATTAGTGTAAAGTACGCAATAACGGCACTGCGAAGCCATGCACAAGGCTAATTGATTTGCATTCAATATTTGTCATATTACGTGGCATTGTAACGTTGCAGTATGGCGCAGTAAATTTTGCCAATTCCCTTTTGTCTTATTATTGCTATTGCAGAAGTGTTATCCCAAGAAATATTTATTTAACGTTTAAATCCATACAGATGGAACATTTCCAAAGGAATGGAATGAATTGTGACATTTTCACTTATTTTTTCTTCATCATTTGTTTAAAGGTTATGAAATCATTTTGCATGATATATTTCAGGTCATGCGACAATAACAGACCAGCTGAAGGCATCTGGAAGGATTCAAATCAGTGTGATCTTAAAACCTTTGTTCGTTTAGACTTTAGCAGGCAAGTGCCTATAGTGATTATTTAACTGTCATGTGAAAACCTGATGTTTAACACGAACCTAAGACATTGTGTCTGATTATATCTGTTTATGTTATTGGCGTCACACAAATATGAAGTTTTGTGTAATATCTTTGGTACAAAGTGATGCTTGAAACACATCTTAGTCCATGCAAATCCTTTACAAGTCGTTGAATCTCATGGGCCCATGGCTGTATGAACCCTGTCAAACGATTAACGTGCAGATTTCGCTTCAAACAGGCGAAAAGCCATTTCTTTGTCATTAACTCATTCACTTGACTCCGAAACATATGTTTTGTACATGTATTTACCTTCATTCAATCGAGCATACTCTTTCTCGAATATATTAACAAACGTCTTAGGACACATGCTCAATGGTCAGAAGGATTACAACATTCTAATTGACATCTGGAGAACATTTGCAGATTTGGCACATCAGAGACCAACATGATTCCCTATCTTGACTTGTATCATACAGTTCTCAAATTGGCACATCAGAGACCAGCATGATTCCCTATCTTGACTTGTATCATACAGTTCTCAATTTGGCACATCAGAGACCAACATGATTCCCTGTCTTGACTTGTATCATACAGTTCTCAATTTGGCACATCAGAGACCAACATGATTCCCAGTCTTGGCTTGTATCATACAGTTCTCAATTTGGCACATCAGAGACCAACATGATTCCCTATCTTGCCTTGTATCATACAGTTCTCAATTTGGCACATCAGAGACCAACATGATTCCCTATCTTGACTTGTATCATACAGTTCTCAATTTGACACATCAGAGACCAACATGATTCCCTATCTTGACTTGTATCATACAGTTCTCAATTTGGCACATCAGAGACCAACATGATTCCCTATCTTGACTTGTATCATACAGTTCTCAATTTGGCACATCAGAGACCAACATGATTCCCTATCTTGACTTGTATCATACAGTTCTCAATTTGGCACATTAGAGACCAACATGATTCCCTATCTTGACTTGTATCATACAGTTCTCAATTTGGCAATGGCACATCAGAGACCAACATGATTCCCTATCTTGACTTGTATCATACAGTTCTCAATTTGGCACATCAGAGACCAACATGATTCCCTATCTTGACTTGTATCATACAGTTCTCAATTTGGCACATCAGAGACCAACATGATTCCCTATCTTGACTTGTATCATACAGTTCTCAATTTGGCACATCAGAGACCAACATGATTCCCTATCTTGACTTGTATCATACAGTTCTCAATTTGGCACATCAGAGACCAACATGATTCCCTATCTTGACTTGTATCATACAGTTCTCAATTTGGCACATCAGAGACCAACATGATTCCCTATCTTGACTTGTATCATACAGTTCTCAATTTGGCACATCAGAGACCAACATGATTCCCTATCTTGACTTGTATCATACAGTTCTCATTTGGCACATCAGAGACCAACATGATTCCCTATCTTGACTTGTATCATACAGTTCTCAATTTGGCATCATCAGAGACCAACATGATTCCCTATCTTGACTTGTATCATACAGTTCTCAATTTGGCACATCAGAGACCAACATGATTCCCTATCTTGACTTGTATCATACAGTTCTCAATTTGGCACATCAGAGACCAACATGATTCCCTATCTTGACTTGTATCATACAGTTCTCAATTTGGCACATCAGAGACCAACATGATTCCCTATCTTGACTTGTATCATACAGTTCTCAATTTGGCACATCAGAGACCAACATGATTCCCTATCTTGACTTGTATCATACAGTTCTCAATTTGGCACATCAAATGCCTTTGCATGTGTTTGCATATGGATGCCACCAGATATCATCATAATGAGTGAGTGAGTTTACGTTTTTATAGTCAAAGCAGCAGTATTGAAGCCATATTGCGACTAAAAATAGTTATATATTCATGATAAATAGGAGGTGTTCGCCATCAAGCATATACAGCTTGACTGTGTAGGCTTTTCAGCTGCATGGGACTGTATTATGAAGCGATACATCTGAAAGACCTGTTTTGCAGCGTGAGCGGGTATCTCATTGTTAGCTACCTGAGGGAAGTTGACCTGTATCATAACTTGCAATTATGTAAAGTGAATGACGGATTGCTTGTTTTTTTAATTGGGTGCTATGACATTTTCTATTTGTAAATAATAATGTAATGAATATATGTGGGGAATTTTAAGAAAAAATCTTTTGGATTTTGTATTTAAAATGTGTATGAGTTCGGCACTATATGGCTGGAATAATGCCGATGTGACGTAAAACCCAACTCAACTCAACGAAGGACAGACCGTAAAGCCAACAAGTATCTATCGTCCTAACGATTTTTAATCGTTTCGTAAAATCATGGAAAGCTTTTACATATATTTCGTGTCACAATAACTTCAGCTTTAGGGTATACTTACGTCTGAAAGACACCTGGCGCCTTCGGGCTTCTCAGTCTTCTTTGAATCATTTCTTGACAAACGACAGGGTAAATCTTCAATATTGTATGCAAAGTTAGAACATAGATTGTGTTCATTACACTTCAACTGGCACAGCTTGATGCCAAGGTTAGGGATATTCTTCGGTTTACATTGTGTCATGGCTGATGTGGAAAATACACAGATGAGAATAACTGATACTTCCAGGAGTAAGTTCACAGAGTAACTCGAATATCTTTGTACCATCTTGAGTGTTGAATGATGGTGAACCACAACCGAAAACGGCAATAACACAAGTATCAATACCAAAATCTGGACCTTAAAACAATGTAAAGGAAAACTACGGCTACTATAGTCGTGAGCTGACAACAGGGTAGAGCGCAGTGATGCAGGCAATGCTGTCCTGGAACCACTACCGCCAAGTCGATAAACTGACTGAAACCGGTACAACCAGATTACTCCGGTGTGGAGCAAACACAGCGACTGCTGTCATAGATACGGGGCAGACAGTCAGCTTCCATTGCGCTTGTCACTTCTAATATATACTGATATCGATTGTTTTACATTGCCATCTTCTTAAATCTTTACACAATAAGTGAGTGAGTGAGTTTAGTTTTACGCCGCACTCATCAATATTCCAGATATATGGCGGCGATCTGTAAATAATCGAGTCCGGGCCAGACAATCCAGTGATCAGCATCGTGAGCATCGACCTACGCAATTGGGATACGATGACATGTGTCAACCAAGTCAGCGAGCCTGACCACCGGATCCCGTTAGTCGCCTCTTACAACAAGCGTGGGTTGCTGAAGATCAATTCTAACTCGGATCTTCACGGGTATCTTTACACAGTGTCTTCGTATTAATATTGATGACACATGTAATAGTACATAGCCTTTATAGCTTAGCATGTCTCAAGTGTTGCACAATAACTTTAAAACTACTTACTAGTATGTCACACGCGCCAGCTTCCCGAGTCTTACCTGTCGTCAGAGGCAACTGACAGACTTGCTGCTATGGCCGATACACGTCATCGTTCAAACCTCAGTTATTCACGTACCACTGTTATTATTTTCATTCTGGAGACACCATTCCAAGAGATCTGAATAAAACCAAACGCTTCCCTGACAGGCTCACTTAACTGAAATCTCATCTCCTTCCTTTACTAGGATAAAGTGGGGCAGTTCCCATTTTACCGTCTAAACTTAACATCTCATCGCAATCCCGGCACCTCAGACCGAAGTGATACCCGCATCGTAAAGCTTCCCGCACCCTAGACTACCCAGTTACCATACGCGCCATGAGTATACTACTCATACACACACTCACACACACTGTGTGTAGCTTAGCGCTATATAAATCCCTATTCTACCATGACTTCAGTAAACACTGGATTGTGATTGGTTAATTAAAGTCATTCAGAGGTATATAATCACGTTATACAGGTCTCTGTTTTCCGTGCGCAATCATACATGGTTTACGGTAATGCACTATTTTTGTCTGCCCACTAGATATCTAACATGGCGGACACCAAACAACCTACCGATGCATCGATAAATTACGGCGATTTACTGTCGGAAATTACACATATGTCTTTAAAGATGGATTTAGCGATGACGGGCTCGACTCACTACTTGCGTAAATCACAGCAATAGGTGTTTATACATACAAAAGTACTTCGAAAGCATGGAAACAAATATTCAGTCGAACAAGATCAAAACATCGTCTGCTTTCCGAATAAAAATTCAGCAAAACAAATATGTTTACGTTGATTCTATGTTACGTCAGAATAGATCCAGCAATAGACTGCTACATAATTTCCGTGTTAAATTTATTATCAGCTTTCGTCAACGATATCGCCACTGATCTTGATCCGGTAACGGAGGATGTATTAACATCGAACGCCGAAGAAATTTTAATGCCTTCCGTCCACATAAATAAACAGTTGGGTTATCAATTCAAACAAAATGATATTTTGAAATTTGTACTGTTTCAAATTCAGCGGTAGTAAAACACAATTACTGAATCTGCAAACCGTTCTGTTTAGCCAAACATATATTTTTCTAACAGTGTAATATCGTTGAAAAGTTATTTGGCTTAGTCATGATCCCTCTTATCCGTTACACTGCTTGATCTAAAGTAGTCTATAAAAGTATAATTAATTACCTTACCGTGTTTATGCCAGAGGTACACCCTCATGTCCTGGTCCATCCTTTCGGAAATATCACCACAAATCTGGCTCTTTGTCAACAGACTCGCGAACATGCCAGCGAATCCGATTCAATTTGAATTCACTACACTTTGAAGCCACTAGGTCACAAAACACTTTCCAAAATGTAGAAAATAATATCCGTAGAATCGAATTTGAGCACAAAAGTACATGAGTGTGTAAGTCACCACAGCTGTCGCACGCAGACGTAGAGGTGCGTGAAATCGTCAAGTTGACAGGGCGCAATATTCAACAGCATCTAATTCGGTACAACCCGGACTTCTCGTTACAGCAAAAGCGCCTCTACTCTTAAATTTTGTACCAGTACCAGTAATTAGATATCAAAGACTATCTCAGTCATACAATCAGGTTAACCTTGCTCAAACTGTCAGTGGCTCTCCTGTCGCATCTTTCCAAATGTAAACAATGACTTCGAGAAAAGGTCAAGGCCATGAGGTTGCTGCCACTATTCTGGTGGGGAAAGGGTCTACGGTGGAATTTTCAAATGTGAACCAAGCTTTTGAAACTTATTTGATATATGTTTTCCAACTTATCAGTTAATGATTGGTGATTGATGCATTGAAAAACAAAACGTGATTTGTTATTACTGAATCTGGAGTTTGTTAGTCATTGACGGTTTGCCACCAAACACCCGTTTCGGGCGATACCACTTGAGATTGGAATGCGAGGCCGCTTCACGTATTGACTCGTAACCAAAGAAAGAGCTCCACCTGAAATTGTTCATAAAATTGTCATGGTAGAATGGAGATAAACCTACTGTGTTGGAAAATCAGAGGTATATAACGAAATTATAATAGCTCTAAATTGTTCATTTAAAACCTCACGCTACGCGTTCGGTTTTAAATGAAATTTAGAGCTATTATAATTTCGTTATATACCTCTGATTTTCCCACACAGTAGGTTTATCTCCTAAATATATTATAATGTGTTATGTATTGAAGTGGGTTCCGGTGATCCTAGCACAGTCCCTTGGCCCACTTCTTCCAGGAAGCGCTGCCTTGCGGACCAACCACTATTCCAGAGAATATGAAAGCTCCCCAGCAGAAAATGGGTACCCGTTGGGATAAGCCATGTGACTATAACCTTCCAGCGCCTAAGAACAGGCAGCTTGGGTTCTCCCGGGTAATAGTAACCACATTGTAGCGCTTTGTACGTGCCCCTCCCTGGTGCGGAATTCAGGGTATTACAAATGCCCTAATTATTATGTTTTACAGACTGAGATAACATGCAGCAGAGAGGGTTCAGGTGACCCTGTCACAGTCAGGCTGGTAAGGCTCATTATCAGCTCATGGCCCTTGCCCCCTCTACACGCAGCCCAAACAGAGAATGGAACTTCTCCCAGGAAACGCTGCCTAGTCGAACCCACCAAGAACTTTCTGGAGAATATGTAGACTCCCCAACACTGCAGCCTTCTGCTTTACCCAGAGTGTCAGAAGGGCTGTGCTCCCGGTGGAGAACCCGGGCACTCTCCTGATCTGTGCCAGAATGATCAGGAGATACCAAACCAAGGGCATTGAGAACGATAGGGAGTCTGACGACAGTGATACAAGCGAGACATTTCAAAGGCGAAGTCCGCATATTTAGAATGCTTTACCTGAAACTTGCCAATCACGTTGCTGTCAAAAGGGACAGAAAATTCAATGATATAAATGAATTCAGTGACTTTATCAAAGATGACAAGATCAGGAGTCTTGACATGCTTCACCAGAGGATCATCCGATAAATATGTACAAAAGTACACACAAAAATTCTATCATGAAGAGCCTCCACATTAATCAAACCCCAATCTCCAGAAATGATTACCATATATAAACGATTAAGAAAGGAGCGAGGTTGGTGGGCTCTGGTCAGGCGGTCAAGACTCTAAATGTTTTATTTTGTCCAATGAACTACTCCCACGGAATAGGAAAGGACTGGCACAGCAAAAGTATTGGAGACTTTGACCTTGTTTCGAGCATTTAGCTCTGAGCTCCAGATTTTCTTTAAGCGAGATGTGTACTCGGCCCGAAGTTTCTCTTGAATCTGGCCATTCTCGAACTTAATTGTCTCTAACTTGCATTCTAAGATAGGTGTAGGCCTGATCTTCCACAAGATGCTCAATAACTCCTCCCCCCTGTAACATGACCGATCCATCATTAGTTACCTTGCCACGTTTCAAATGAAGAGTTCATTAGAAAAGGACTCGACAAGGAGTACCTGCTCTTTCAAATTGGTATCTCCTTTGGCAAGGAGCTCGATGTAAAAGATAGCCTGTTCCAAAATCATTTTTTGTACAAGAAGTTGACCCTTGCACCCTAAAATCCCTTTCTCGACTCCCTTTTCTCTCGATAACTTATGTCATTGGAAGAGCAGTAAGATGACACAAGGTTTGTCAAACACCCTGTGAATATTATATATTGTGTATTCAAACATGTGATAGGGCGGAAGTTTGGGGGATCAGTCAAGTCTCCTTTTTGGGGATGGAGTATTGTGCGACCGTTGCAAAACCATGGGGGAACATCACCGAGAGAATTGAAGCAGTGAAGTAATGGACACAGGGGAATAATTTCCAGTACCGGTTTCGAATGCCATCAGGCCCTGGAGCTGTATTAGATTTGGACCTTTTGATAACACTTTTTCAGGCAATCTGGTGAGATGGAACAGACAAACGACCTAGTTATTTTCTCATGTATTGCATGGTCATAATCACGGACCCATGGTGCCTCAAGGTTACAGTCGCCGGGTACAGACCACAACTGTTTCTAGAACCTTTCACTGGCATCCATGGGAGGCCGTTTATCATGCTCACCATACCATTTGTTTTCATTTGCCTTTGGAAGTGTTTTTCATTATTTCTAAAAAGTTTATTCTTTTTAATGAATTTATTTTTCTTTCCAATTTTTTCTTTCTTTCAGTCCAAACTTTTATTTTTACCTTTAGGGAAAATTCGTTATCATTACACTCCGTGGTACTCACGTACCTACCTGCACCCGCTGAGCTACCTGTACCTGGGACAACTCAGTAACCGAACCTTGACCTATGGCCATTCCGGTTCTCACCACTTTTTTAAACCGTTACAGTTATCCGTACCTCACGACACTGCGACATTGTTCTATTCAGATACTGCCAACTGCTGAGCAGCATAACTTATGCTCACCTTGGACACGTGAAGATCCGGGCTAGAATTGTCCTTAAGTAACCCATGCTTGTCGTAAGAGGTGACTAACGGGATCGGCTGGTCAAGCTGGCTGACTCGGTTGACACATGTCATCGTATCCCAGTTGCCTAGATCAATGGTCATGCTGTTGCTCATCAGATTGTCTGGTCCAGATTCGATTATTTACGGATCTATTCATATTCATAAATAACTGGAATATTGGTGAGTGCGGCGTAAAAGTGAACTCACTCACTCACTTACTATAATCACCTTGACAGACATGTCAACACTGAAGCATATAAATATCAGTGAGCAACATAACCCAATTAACAATATAACCAGTTAGTATTGTTTTCAAATTTAGTGCAGATTTTCTTTCATCATATTTTGAGGTGGGGCCAATGTTACATAGCACTTACCAGAGAGAAACAGCGGTTCAACATAACTGCGTTGTAAGTTACAAGTAATGAAAATGACGCCGAAAGGAAATGCAACTTCGGTTCAACTTTTACGCGTGCATGTTTTCAAATTTGACTGTAAAGATGACATCTTTAAGTTGTGTCAGTGTCAGACGTTCAACTGTTTCTAGGCAACTGAATTCAATATGTATGGAAACTTATCAGTTGCAGTGTATCCTCGTCTTCGGAAAATATGATTTGTGATAAGAAAGAAAACGCATTCCATTCCTTTCTGTGGTTGTGTGTTGGCATATATGTGATAAGTGACGTATAGGTTATTTCCTTCTTGAGTATTCATAAATCCGATGTCTTAAAGGATCTCTGATGTCAAAAATGGAAACACGAAGTAAAGTATGCATTTACTATAAATATGGAGTGGAGTAGCCTAATGGTAAAAGCGTTGGTCTGTCATGCCGAAGACCCGGGTTCGATTCCCCACATGTATGAAGTTCATTTCTGCTGTCCCCCGCCTTGATATTGCTGGAATGTTGCTAAATGCGGCGTAAACAATACTCACTCACGCACTCACTCACTTATGGACAGATCAAATCTACGCTTGTGAGGAGTGGCCCGTTTGAGACTATTAACCAATGCTATTTTACGCTTGCGTCACTGAATTCCGAACCAGTTTATGTTATTTTTTCCCCCATGTTTACGGTAAGCTTTCAATTGTTTTACAGGAATGCAATACATCTTTAGATATCGCTTTCCAAGAATGTTGACAGACACTCTTCCGCTTCCTGTGTCATGAATAAGCCATGGCTACGTCGGCTGCAGCACAAGAGATAAACAGCTGTGAAGGTGAACATACATGTGAAGCTAATGACTACAGTTACACTGCCTTGGAAAATGTGCACATGGCATTACTATGCACTACTCTGACAATTAGGTCGGTTGGATATCGTCATGCACAACATGGAGTTGTGAAATATCTGCTTTGAAATAAAAAAAAAACGATTGTGCGCACGCACACACACACACACACACACACACACATACACACCAAAGACTGGTCGTCTCGGAGTCAGTATAATGTGTCTGAGTGGGGTATTCATGCTTCACTGTGGCATGGTATATCAGTGAGCTGGCACTATAAAACAAGCTTAAGTATGGGCTAGTACAAGCAGCCACACATACACACGCATGCACGTCGTCAAATGAACGAAATATTCTTAAGTACGACGTTAAACCCCATTTCACCTCACCTCATCCACTATCGGATCCTCATTTCTGCCTTGGAGTTAGTTACCTCAAGCACGCTTTGTTACAGAAACGTTAAACAAAAAGTATCAACAACCGCAACAACATGTTGAACTACTCAGGGACTCAAATCAGAAAACAACCTGTGAGTGAGTGAGTTCAGTTCTACGCCGCTTTTAGCAATATTTCAGGAATATCACTGCGTGGGATACCAGAAATGGGTTCCACACATTGTACCAACGTCGGGAATCGAACCCGGGTCTCCGGCGTGACGAGCGAACGCGTTGACCACTAGGCTGTTCCACCGCCCCTCATAAACAACACTGTAATGGCCCAATAGAGGCGACTGAGTGGCATGCTATGACGCTATGATATACCATTGAACCACTTCTAGTCGAACCTAGAATAGTTACAGATCACCGTGATATCATGCTAGAATATTTACAGATCACCGTGATATCATGCTAGATTATTTACAGATCACCGTGATATCATGCTAGAATATTTACAGATCACCGTGATATGCTAGACTATTTACAGATCACCGTGATATCATGCTAGAATATCTACAGATTGCCGTGATATCATGCTAGAATATTTACAGATCACCGTGATATGCTAGAATATTTACAGATCACCGTGATATCATGCTAGAATATTTTCAGAATATTTTCTACAGATCACCGTGATATCATGCTAGAATATTTACAGATCACCGTGATATCATGCTAGAATATCTACAGATCACCGTGATATCATGCTAGAATATTTACAGATCACCGTGATATCATGCTAGAATATCTACAGATCACCGTGATATCATGCTAGAATATTTACAGATCACCGTGATATCATGCTAGATTATTTACAGATCACCGTGATATCATGCTAGAATAATTACAGATCACCGTGATATCATGCTAGAATAATTACAGATCACCGTGATATCATGCTAGAATATCTACAGATCACCGTGATATGCTAAAATATATACAGATCACCGTGATATCATGCTAGAATATTTACAGATCACCGTGATATCATGCTAGAAGAATTACAGATGACCGGGATATGCTAGAATATCTACAGATCACCGTGATATCATGCTAGAATATCTACAGATCACCTTGATATCATGCTAGAATATTGCTAGCAGCGTGGCAAAACATCTAACAAAAACATGAAATATTCAGTTGCATGGTCTTTATTTGAGGTCATTCATTTACAGCGTCTAGCGTAACAATGATTTGTGTGGGAATAGGTTAGTTCGAAAACAGTGTTTCATCTTTCAACCTCAGGGTTCCTTCAAATACCCTTCATTGTTTTGTTTTTGTTTATAAACATTAACATTATACAACAGATATCATAACGTATAATGTCTCTTACTGTTTTAATCAGGTTTTAATAGAATTACGAAACCAATTTCCTCTTGTCATGAAAGAGAGGGGCAATTCTTGCTCTGATGATCTCCGGGTCACGAGGCCAACAAATGCAAGACATATCAGGATGGCTAGACAGCCTCTGAAACATAAAAAAGAGTCATCGTCAGTTCACTGGGATCAAAATAAAGTACGGTGGCCCAGATGAGAAATAGACACAACAGTGTGACTTAAAACTAATGGATATGAATCCTTTTTACTTATGCTTATGTTCTTGTGTCAACAACATGCCTCTTTTTAAGAAACACGAGCGGAGCAGGGCATTATGGCGGCGTTTTTCCAAAAGCAGAGTTCTGTTCCATAACATCAGAAGGATCTACTTCGTCCTGATTTATGAGCCCCTTGTATAAGCGTAACACTTATGGCACTGGACACAAATAAAGTGAAATCATAACAGGGATCGGTAAACCCTGCCAACCTCCCGTTTTTTATATTATATTGTCCTAAGTAGTGATTTAATGTTTAGGTTACAAACTTGTCTTAAATCTCTTACTGTGATATTCTAGTTGTTTTAAGGAAGCGAATGCAAGTAATATGATAGGCGGAATCTGATTGGCCAATAGTAGAAGTATAAAAGGGACATAACTCGTTGCCACTGTGTAACTACCATCAAGCACCGTCAGGCACCTAATCGCCAGCACACAAAGTCAGACGCGGTGGCTGAGCAGTCTAGGCGTCTGACTTTGTGTGCTGGCGATAAGGTGCCTGACTCTGAGGGTGTGGGTTCGAATCCCGGATGAGACTCAACCCAAAAAGTACTAGGATCTGTACTTTACTAAGAAAGTGTAATCCCAAAAATAACATATGTTACATGGTCCAGATTCGATTATTTACAGACCGCCGCCATATACCTGGCTTACTGCTGAGTGCAGCGTTACACCACAGACAGAGTTGGTCATAGAAGATGGACTTACACGACACATCCAAGCAAAATGACAACCATCTTGAGTGTAAAGAATGGAGATGGGGCTGAAGTAGGGGCTGGTCTCGGAGAAGGAGCAGCTGTAGTCGCCGTCGTCGTCGTGGTGGTATCAAGACCTCCAGGGCAAGCGTAGACACTCCTCAGTGTGAAGTACTGGAAACGTTCAATAGCATGGGTGAACAGGAATATCGTCCAAGGGTATATATCTTGTGGACATTTAGGAATGTATTATTATAAGTATTGTGTGTATTTATATCGCGCTGAATTCCATACATAATGTATCCTCAAAGCGCTCCAATATCAAGAAGATACAAATAAACAGTTTTCAATGCATAAAAGAATAAAGTGGTTGAAGATAAAGCATGGACTTTGTAATATATTCAAAAACGAAAGGTTTGAAACTTTTGAAAGCTTCAACAGAGGGAGAAAGTCGTAGCTCAAGTGACAGGTGGTTATGGATCTGCATAGCTGAATGATCGGAGACCAACGGATTTCAGTTTTCAACGCGGAATTGTCAATAAATATTTATCTGCAGATCTTAGAGCTCGGGATGGGTCGTGTTTTGTGAAGAATTCATTGCAGCCTGGAGCAGTTTCATGGTAACATTGGTAGGCTTGACTTAGGATTCTGTACTCCACCCTGGCTCTGACAGGCAACCAATGTAAAGCTAGGAGTACAGGTGTTCTGTGCACTCGAGATGACACTTTGCTGACAATACAGGCTACAGTGTTTTGGACACGTTGATGTTTGGGAAAGTGCATTTGTGTCATTCCATAACAATCGCCGTGAAAGAACTTACGATCAAACTAATGCAAAGATTTAAGTTCAATGTTTGAAATACACATCTTGATTATCAAGTCATTATTTCCAATCTATTATTATTTCAATCCTCTGCATCAACCCTAAGGTTCTTGTATTGGATAATTCTTTTTAAAACATTGTTATCAATGAATGGGGAGTCAGTGATTGCTTTCAGCAATAATTCACCAATTTCATGACGAGGAACACCAGAAAGCATCCCCTTTACCCATGTGGGGAATTGAACCCGGACCTTTAGGGTGACGTGCGAGCGTCTTTACCACTATGCTATGGGCGTTGGATTAGCGTAGTGGTTAAAGCTTTCGCTCGTCACGCCGAAGACCCGGTTCGATTCCTCACATGGGTACAATGAGTAAAGCCCGTTTCTGGTGTCCACCGCCGTGATATTTTTGGAATATTTCTAAAACCATATTCTGTGTAAAATCATACTCACTGACTATGCTAGCCCACCGCCCAGAGATATATGACGTATTACCAAGTCACTCACTTAACTTACATAAAGACCGCTTCCAGGTGGGTTTTCGCCATTGACCTCGAAGCTCCCAGTGGTCGTCCGATCACATATGAGTGATACATAACTTGTTCTGAAATGCCCAAATTACATTTCAAACACATATGACACTTCATTAACAGGATACCCGTGACGACAATATTGTGCTTTTTAAAAGAAATAAATCTAATTTATAAATGTGTGAAGTATTTCATAACTCGGTAGTATATGATTATTAACTGTGATTATTTTGACCGTGCCATGTTAAAGTAGCGTAGAATTATTGTCTCCCTTCCCAGCCTGTACACTACCAGTAGAGATTAAATGCTCGAACATCAAGACCACTGCAGCGATCTGTTTACAGGTTGAATGTGGTCCATTCCCTGCAGGACACTCACGGTGAGAGTTGACTGTACCCGTGAAAATCCGGGTTAGAATTGATCTTCAGCAACCCATGTGTAAGAGGCGACGAACGGGATCGCGCTGTCTTGGTTGACACATGTCATGGTATCCCAGTTGCGTAGATCGATCCTCAATCTGTTGAGCACTGGATAGTCTGGTGGGCAGAGTGTGAATGAACTCGTGTACGATACTGGATATCCAGTTAATGTTCGTTAGTTAGTTGGTTAACAATCAACAGCATGAGCATCCATCATATGCAGTTGAGAGTAAGCCCCCTCTTGCGACAAGCTTGGGTTGCTGAAGACCAATTTTAACCCGGTTCTTCACTGTTAATATTATATTATACGCTGAGGAATTTAATGAATTTCCTCACCTTGTTGTATCAGTAGTGGCGCTGTACTGCATCTGGAGTCCGCGTGTGGCGTCTGTTATGAACGCTGCAGACTGTTGGGTTCCTAGGCTGAAGTAGCTTGCAGTTTTGTCCGTCTGACAAACCTGTGTAAATCCGCACCCATAAAATCATAATGTGTATGAATTAACCTGATATTAGATCTTTGTGCCCCCTACCGTTACACATGCGTTTGTTCCCTGAGAGGGTGTATAAGCCCACATCATTCAAAGAATGTTCATATATACTCAGCAGCAAACAAAACGTCAGTACGAATTCAAAATTAGATAGGCACTGTAATCAAATCATTACAGAAACGGACATAATAAGCGGATCAAAAACATTTTTGTGTACAATATTTTGACACATCAATGAATAACTCAGCACAATTCCAAGACACTACGTGAACGTTTGCAGTCCATTCAGACCCTTGACTTCAGTATCTAGTGTGACCAGCACGAGCAGCAAAAACTGTAGCACAGCGTCTATGCATGGAGTGCACCAATTGATTGATGAAGGCCATTAGCACTTGGAACCACACCCTGAGATAGGCCTGGCGCAATAAATCGGCTGTGTTCGGCCTTGGTATGACATTATTCAGTCTCTTTTGAATTTCATCCCAAAGATGTTCAATTGCGTTTAAATCAGGCTGGACACTGCATAATGTTGACACCGTTCTGCTGTAGAGAGTCCCGTGTAGCTCAGGCAGTATGGGCCGGGTCGTTATCATGCTGGAAAAGTTGTTCCGGTGTCGTGCGAAATGTGGTATGATGTGGGGTCTGAGAGCTTGGTCGATGTAGCGCACCGCTGTGATGGCGCCTCCTCTCCCTGGACCAAGGTTCTGGAACACCACAGGACCCACTTTCTGTTCAGGCCTATTCCACCCCATACCATGATGCTTGCACCTCCCCATGAGTCTCTTTCCATAACACATTGGTTTGAGTAACGCTGGCCACGTCGTCGCAATATTCTTGTTCTGCCATCTGCAAGAGATACGCAGTACCGACTCTCATCTGTGAACAGAACAGTTCTCCATTGCCTGTATCGCCAGTTTTGGTGTTATAGGGCAAACTGTAGACGTTCACGCCGATGACGAGGGGTGAGGATAGGTCCACGGTAAGGTCTACGGCAATGGAGGTTCCCGCTGTTAAGACGTCGGCGTACTGTATCAGGACTGATTGGTGTTCGTGTGTTCCCACTGTCTGGCGTGCTGTTTCGGATGCCTGCATGAAGGGAGGGATTCTGTACATGTTGTCGCACAACATGGCGGTCTTGTCGTCTTGCGGTCAACCCTTGGTCTGCCAGTACGGGGGTAATAATTTGTGGTGTTGGTGCCCGGAAACGTTGCTGCAGCCTGGAGATGGTCCAAACGTTGACCTGGAAGTGATTGGCAACGGCTTGTGCAGTGTGGCCAGCTTCAAGTCTTCCTAGTGCCTGGGGTGCATTTTATAGGGCTGGTCCTTGTGAACAGGACGTGCAGCATAAGTTGCATGAAAAACATTGAGAACACCGTACCATCTCCGAGATCAGGTTGCGTTTTTGAGACCATTTCCTGGGTTCCATTCTGAATTTTGGAAGGAATGTCTTTGCTCAGGTAAAGTTGGAGATGTCAAAACTATGCAATCAATACATTAAATGAGTTTACCGTTATCCGTTTCTGCGACGGAAAATTCCAAACTGACGTTTCTTTTGCTGCTTAGTATATATGACCGGTTTTAATCGTGATATATTTGTACATTTTAGAGTCAAGGCTAACATTGCATCCTATCGCTGGCCGCTAAAGGGATGGTAAAACTTCTTCTGGGGAACAGTGCAAGAAGCAGAGGTATTGATTGTCCCCACGGCCCCTAGTATAGTGGCCTCACTTTAGCGATCTCTAATTAATTAGAAAAAAAATATGATTTATTCTTAATTTATTAATTTCTGTGGGCACGATATGGATGAAATATTGTGACGTACTATTTAACTCAGTCACTCACCCTACCGCGACACAAACACCTGCAGGAGGTACAAATGTCGATAATGTTAGATCGACCTTGTACAGGACATTTCGATGTTGGTATGATAAAGAGGAACAGGGTATTGGATTGACAACAAGATCCTGCGACGTTTGGATGCTAACATAACTTCCTTCATACCGGTGTTAGCATCTACACCGAAACGTCGCTTCTGTTGAAATAAGTGAGTTGTCAATGACATAAACTTCCTCTTCCAGAACTTCCATCGGACGAACCACTGCGTCGTTCTTTACGAGATGGCGAAAGTGAAAGCCTGACCGTGATGTCTGATCATGCAACCTCGAATTGGTCAAAACAAGGCATGCCGAAGAACTGACAAGAGGCATCCTGAACGACATCGTCTATCTTATGATTCAGTTGCATAACAATATAAAACAGAGGGGATTTAACTTCTTTGCGAGCCATTTTAGAAGTTGTAAAGATGAGGGAAAAACGTTCTATGGAAAGCCAACTTCTTTATCGCAATGAACGCGACGTATCGGGGAAGACACTGTTATCAAGCAAATGTTTGTTATGAGGAAAACCAAGTTTTATGAATAGTCAGTTTCCTTTTTGCATCACTTGCTTGATAACAATGTTAGTATCTACACCGAAACGTCGCATTGGTTGCAATGAAGAGATTTAACATAGCTCATGAGAATTAAATACTGCCGTACAATCTCAACTATCTGTCAGGATTATTCCAGAATAGTAATTTGTTCTTAATTCAGAGTTGATATCAAGAAATTACGCAAAATATTTTAATGTATATATATGATGACGGACATAGAAATGTCCAGGATTACCGTTCTGTAGTATATTTCAGTGACCCTGAGATTCTCCCCTCAAAAGAAGTGGAATCTGGCGTTTCTTTATGTTTCGAAACTATACTGCTTGAACCCTTACCGCAACGTTGTTACATTGTCCTTCTGTGAAGCCATTACACGGGTTGAAAGAGTAATACCATTGGCCTGTACCGTCCGGCTGGTCGGCATACCTGTGAGTGAGTGAGTGAGTTAGTTCAGTTTTTCGCCGCACTCAGAAATATTCTAGCTATATGACGGCGGTCTGTAGATAATCGAGTCTGAACCAGACAACCCAGTGATTAACAGCATGAGCATCGATCTACGCAATTGGGATACGATGACATGTGTCAACCAAGTCAGCGAGCCTGACCACCCGATCCCGTTCGTCGTCTCTTACGACAAGCATGGGCTGCTGATGACCAGCTCTAACCCGGATCTTCACGGGTCCATACCTGTGAGATAGAGTAAAACAGATATCAACTCCTGCAGGAATATGTGGCCACAACAAAATGTACACATGTCCCTGTCCAAACTTCACCTGCAGTCCAATCCACTTTCCCAATTCTTTGAATTATTTTCCTTTCTGAAGTGTGTTTTTTTATCTAACTAGGACGTTTTGATGCGTCTTTGTTCTAACATTTGACCATAAAAAATAATAAACTGGTTTTAATAATATTTTCATGAATTGAGATATTGAGATATTAAGATCGGCGAGGAAATGAATTGAAATGACAAATATCAATGACATTCTAAAATCTCTCGTTGATTATGACTAATTCTTATCGTTTGAAATTTCTCCTTAGTCAATTACGTATTGAGTGTAATTTGTTGAAATGTCATGAATCATTGTGATTTCATTCACTACCGAAAACATTGACATTTTGAATATAGAATAGTTCGTTAACCAAATATTTGTCATTTTGATAATCGTTCTTTTCAAAGTTAACGGGCTTTCCTCATCACATATTTCGAAAGATTCGAATAATTATCATTAAATACAGTGCTGAAAATTAATACATCCCAAAATCATAGTATATAATATTTCTATATTATTAATTTAACAGGGTCCGGACAACAGAGGTTTCACTATTACTGATCAGTGTTAGATAGCGTTACATACTTAGCCGTCCCTTCAACATTGGCCAGAGGTGAGAGGTCGATCAGACCTTCCGAGTTCTGACATGAGCACGGTGAGACTTTTTCACATGTATCCAGGGAAGCAGACGGAGACACCAGAACGGCAACGAGAAACAGTGCCAACATGCTGTGGGTCTTCATTGTGGAGGACGAAATGCCCCGTACGTGCATTCTTATACAGATGACGGTCACGAGGCGATGATTGTGATATGACAGTGAGATACTTCCACGCATATCTTGTCTGTCTCGGACGTGGTGATACACACCATATCAGTTTCGCAAGTGTTCTGATTGTTAGACATGTGATAATGATGACTACTAGATAACTATTGATAACGGCAATGACATGCTAACAGAAGCAGTTGTGTCCCTTTGATAAACATACTGCATGCCTTGTTGGTTGTAAATACAGTCAAACACCGTTGTGTCGAACTTACGGTTGTTTCGTGAGTGAGTGAGTATGGTTTTATGCCGCATTTAGCAATATCACTGTCGAGACACCAGAAATGGACTTTACACATTGTACCCATGTGGGGAATCGAACCCGGATCTTCGTCGTGACGAGCGAACGCTTTAACCACTATGCTACCCACTAGGCTACCCCACCGCCCTATGCAAAGTATAAAAACCACGCGGAGTGTCAGTGTATTGAGAAACATTATTTTTTGTCAGTTGGATGATGTGCAAATCTATCAATTTCGATGGATACATTTTGAATAATAACAACGAGTGATAAAGCCGAATGGAAAACCTGGACCGGAAGTTGTTGGTATGCTTCACTCTCTAGAAAAAGAAACACATTAGCTAACATCGATGTGTGCAAATATATGTGCATATTCTATTTAATTTTACTTATACAGGGATGCATTTAGCATGACGATCTGTGGACAAAAGACTGAGTGAACATGGGTTCCGGCCATGGACTGAGCACGGTATGTTCTCACTGCTCTACACCGTCTTGGCTCAGGCTGAATAACGCTGGGGCGGTGGGGAAGCCTAGTGGTTAAAGCGTTCGCACGTTCAACCAGTACTTATACCTGCCACTGGCATTTGTTTCAATACCTGTATATAGTTAGTCGAAATATCCCAAATAAGGATTCCTTTATCGCGGAGTGAATATAAACGTACCATATATCGCTATCAGGGTTGATACTGGATGGATAACACGCAATACACAATTGTTTGATGTTATATATTTTTTAATGCAAAACATGCACGCTATCCACATGTACTGTAAGTCCCCATGGTCCCTAATATAGTGATCTACCTTCAGTTGTTGACAATTTATAGCCTGTTTTTTTATTGTTTTGTCGTCATTTGTTACATTTCGTTAGATTTTCACACGAGTCTTAAATTTCTATCTGTGATCATCTAGTTATAATACTGTCCTTGTTGACAGCTTTCAGTTTGAAAAGTATTGTTCATTATTATCGTAGAATGTGATAACTTGATCGAGGCACAACATGGCTGAAATACTGCCACCGTGACTTAAATAAAACTCACTCACTATATTGTGATAACAACTGTAAATCAACGCATAGGTTATGAAAACACAACTGATTTAGGGATGGTTTTACTCAAGATTGGCTTACTTCTATTTGTGCTTCATCATATAACAATGTGTTGTACTTTTAAGTATTTTTGCAACCTGAAAAGTTTAACGTATTTAAGTTCCATTCAACCATCAAATGTAAGAAGGGCTTTAAATAACGAAGTTTAGATGCTCAAATGATTTTAAACTCAATGGCTCTGGATTATCCAATGGGTCTGATTTTATTGACGCTTTATGTGAAGTTTGTACGGCAGGAATAGAAAATGAACAGAACAGAAGTTTATTCAGTAGTATTTGGGCCATAAGGTCTACGAGTGAGTGAGTTATTATTTAACGTCACATCGGCAATATTGCAGCCATATCCCATAAGGTCTATGATACAGTTGACAAAAACAATATTAATTGCACGTGATCATAAAAATTTGAGTTTTATATAGATCTTATTTTAAATATTTCATTGAGATAAATAGCTGTTAGATGCTGTACATTGCTGTTTTGTGACCTAAAAATTGCCTGAATGGTTAGTGGGCCTCTGTAGACTGATTGTAGCTTCTGTATAGTAGGTATAGAGTTCTGGCTTGAGTATACTGGTCACAAACAAAAAATACATGGTTCTTGTCTTCATTAAGGTTATAATTACAAAGTTTACAGATGGGGTTGATCGCCGTCGTATCTTTATTGTTTCTTAGCTTGTTTATCTTGAAGTTTGTTAGCGAAGCTCCAAATTTGAAGTAGACTCTTATTAGTTGTTTGTTTCTGATGTTCGTGATATATAGAGAATCTCACCCAAGTGTCCTTTGATATCAAATATATCACCACGACTTGATAAAGTAACAAATATTTACTTTTATCAACGAGTGTTAATATATTTGATATCAGAAGACACGAGGGTGAGATTCTATTTGTCATCAAAAATCACTCTTCATTAGTTTTCAATGAAAACTGTACATCTCTGAACACAGTACTGCCATTAGATTTGCAGTGCAGCGATGTCATAACATTGTAACGTCAACAAGTTCATGACGTCATAGCATTGTCAGGGCATTGTACAAAATCTACTGTCAAAACGATATCTCCTAGGAGATATCGTCTGATCTCACACAAGCGACATCTTCTGTGGAACACAGTTTTGGATGATAAATTATTCTCTTTCCAGTGAAAACTCGAATGAAACGTAGTGGGTAAGGAAACTAGCGCTGTTTTAAACATGATAAGAAATTATTTACAACTCCGACATCCTGTGCGATCCATACATGTGCGAATCCCAATGTTTCTCGAAAATCAGAAGTCCAGTTTCTTGTTCCGACATCATCGAGTGACTTAAGCATTCGGTATCACTGGTGTGCGTGGCGATCGGTTGTCATTCGTAGAACTTTTATGCAGTACTTAATGGCCTTTATTTGTGTCGATATAAAAATCAAATGTCTTCGAGTGTCACCAAGAATTGCCTTGTTAGAAGCAAATTTTAGAATAGAAAATGAATAACATGTATTGCTGATATGTTTATCTTACAAATAACTTCGATTAAGGTATTTACCTCCATATTATTACAACTACCCTTCAATGTATAACTTTATATCCAGACCTTAATTACTGCACATAATGATGAATTGTTATTTAGTGAGAAAATGACTGTTTAAGTTTAGAAATTCTGTAAACCACCAAGCACATTTTATGACCACTGTACTATTGGTCTTATGGCCAAAATATACGCAACAAACTCGGTTCGGCAGTTTGGTTCTGTTCGGAATACATAACGCCATTTAAAAAGTGGTCAAATGTAACATATCAAGCTAGGGTCCATGCAGGAAGCAAATGTACTGTAAGTCCCCATGGTCCCTAGTATGGTGATCTACCTTCAGTTGTTGTCTTCTGTAACTAAACATTTTAGATTTACATACTAGTTTTATGTTCATAACTGTGATATTCTTGTTGTTTTACTGTTCTTCGTTGACAGGCTTTTTATAATTTACATGTGTTTATGGTGAATTTAAAGTTTGTTTTAGTCACGATATGGCTGAAATATTGCCGATGTGACTTAAAATCTTAACTCACTCACTTACTCAAATGAATCAAACATATGTTATATGTGAGATTACACTTTCTCAGTAAAGTACAGATTTTAGTACGTTTGTAAAGCCCCATCCGGGATTCGAACCCACGCTCTCAGTGTGAGGCTGAGTAGGCGATCTAACCCGTTCAGCCACTTTCTGAAAGGGCATTGTGTATTCATCTGACAGTAATCGCCACGAAGGCGGTCTTTCTGGACTACCGAGGTTTGACATTAGGTACTACAAATACAATACACCGTTTCACGAAGCCACCATAGCCGAAAAAGAGTTCGATTCCTTAATAACTAAAATATGTGAAATGGTGTCCATCGCTGTGTTTGGATAATTTTAGATCACTATTTAAGGTTGTTGTTTTATAGGTTTATGTGAGAATTTATAACATCTTGGACCTCGCAGTACTAAGCGATTACATTCCTATTACTCCAATATGTTGTGGAACGGGGTTCAGATCCTCAAATCCTGCAATAGTCTTCAGTACTTTGGACAACTGGACCATTGACCATGCAACACGACAACGGTATGAGCTCAACTCAGAGCTCGGAAGAAAACAGTAACTGTCCATGAGTAGGTGAATATTGTTTAACGCGGAGTTTTACATAATCGCAGTTGACACATAAATAGGGAGTGGGGGGAATAGAACACATTCACTGACCAGGGGTAAGCAAAGATACTTGTTACCGCCACTGCATACGTATGACTATTACATAGGCTCCCGACTCTGATATATTTATAAGTATGACCTATATGTATAAGATATAAGAAAGGTGTGTCAGTACATCGAAACAAAATGGCGGCCCGGCTCGGCTCGGCTCTGTTTCAGTCTGACAAACGCTTCCATCGCTTTGGCCGTTGAATAAACTGCACAATTTATACTCAGTTGACCTCTGTTAAGTACCTTGCGTATCACAAACCTGGTGATTTTATTCCCATTTAAAGCTTTCAATAATTTTGCCGTCCATACTCGCACGAAGTCAGGACATATGCCCGGAAGTAATCAAATCTCAGGCTACAGACCCGAACCGAATGGTAGAGCGAGTCTCTGATTGGATAATATAGTTGCACGTTTATTTCCGGTGTCCCCCCGCCGTGATGTTGCTGGAATACTGCTAAAAGCGGCGTAAAACTAACCCCGATCAATCAATCAAGCTTCGCTAATCGATCAAAGAAATGGTCTGTAGATATTGTTCGACGTGTCTCAGTAAGTAAGCAAAGTGTTCAATAGTCCAAGCATTGTAAGAAATCTTGCAGAATATTTCGGACATATTGTGGTAGAATGTCAAATGAAAGACAGTTAAGTTACAGTACAGTTAACTCATGTATAGTATTTATTCTCCAAATACAATAAGTTTCGACCTCGTCAACAAGCAGAGGACAGCATGTTTTATGATTAGAACTTCATCTTCTTTTTGTCAAACGCTACCGCGACATCACCTGACCGCCTTGTCAAGAGCCCAACGAAGACCATGAATATCAGGATACAGATACACACGCTGGAATATACAAACCATAGCCATCATCATTATCATCACAAACATCAAGACAGTCAACGGGTGGTCAACTGACCACATATCGCCCTCGCAGAGTTGTGTCCCTTTCCAGTTTAAGGATATGTTGGCCGACTTCCATTATCACCATATTCAACGAATTCAAGAGGAAGTGTCTTCCACAATTTAAGTGACACTCTCTGAATTAACGGAAACACTGTTCAGTGGATCATGTTAAACGGATCACACTAAACGAAGACAAGGATGACCTACCGTCTGAGGTGAATCTCTTAACCACAGAAGAATCTGATGATTGTGGATTTGAAATCGGATTCTTCGACCCGATAATGTTACTTGCTATTCAAGTACAATATCCATGTTCATACCGAGATCTGCTATACTGGGGGCTGTGCATATTGAATGTTCAAGACAGATCCTGAATAAACACTTTTGAGGTGACACATCTCTTTGTATTATTTGGGGAACAAATGGGATAATCATATGAAGAGTTATGTCCCTTATCCATGCCAGGATCATATGGTCGTGAGTTAAAAGAACAGATTATAACCGTTGGTTTGTCAGCTTATGTTTATATATACTTCTTTATATTCTCCAGTAACGACACCGCCTCCGTGGTGTAGTGGTTAGAGCGTCCGCCCGGAGTGCGGAAGGTCGCGGGTTCGATCCCCGACCGCGTCATACCAAAAGACCTTAAAATATGGTACTTGTTGGTCCCTGCCTGGCGCTCGGCATTAATGGGTACCACAAGGACTGGTCGGCTCGGAGTCAGTATAATGTGTCTGAGTGGGGTATTCATGCTTCACTGCGGCATGGTATATCAGTGGGCTAGCACTATAAAACCAGCATTAGTCTGGGCTAGTACAAGCAGCCGCACACACACATACACACGCATGCACGTCGTCATATGAGCGAAATATTCCCAAGCACGACGTAAAACCCAATTTCACCTCACCTCCAGTAATGAAGATTTACAAGGAATGAATATGGATTATGTACAACAAATACAAACATCGAAGGGCGTTAGACGGATAGTTAGAGAGATAGTCATATAGTGCAGGGTAGGTAACCAAATAGATAGTCATACAGAGACAGACTGAGACAGTTACGGGATAGACATATATACAGGTACTAGGACTAGGAGAGACATACAGAGACAGACTGAGAGAGATACGGGATAAAGATATATACAAGTATAGGACTAGGAAAGACATACAGAGGGGGGACAGTGGAGATATAGACGGATTGGAGTTGAGAGATGACAGAGATAGAAAAAGGTAGAGAGACTGATGACGGTGGTGACTCAGTCAGAAATGAGATTAAGATACAAGGGTAGAACTAGGAGAGAGTGACAGAGGAAGAAATCGTGTGATAGAGACAGATAAGGGTAGAGAGATGACAGAGACGGGTAAAGAAGGGCAGAGAGAACGGGGCAGATAAGCAGACATGGTATCAATTCAGAATGTTCTTTTCACATGATTCCTTATGCAATCTACATGAGTATACATTTCAAGACGACGTTAAACCACACTGTCAGGAATTAGAACAAATATCACACTTTTATTATTTCTCGTCGTATTAAAGTGTTCTACTTACAGGATACATCCAAGGAGTATAGTGATTGTCTTAAGGGTGAAGATTGGTCGTGGTGGTGATGGCGTAGGGGCCACGGCTGTGGTCGTTGCTGCAGGTGTCGTTAAAGGGGTCGTCGTCTTGGGCTTGGGACAAGCGTACTTGCTCCTTAGTGTGAAGTGCTGGAAGTATGGGGAAAGAATTAAAATCTGTAAAAGTAACTGGGTGTTAATTCTGAGCAAAATATCGGATGACAGAAGGAACGTCAACATAGCAAGTTAGGAGTGTCCGGCCTCGCATTTAATGGACACTAGACGTGAAGGTCACCAGAGGGCACTGGACACTGCATGTTCAGATACAGTGAAGTAGGCAAAAAATATGACTATGCATGGATGAAATGTCAACATAAGACATTAGGAGGGTCTGGCTTTACACTTGATGGAACTGGTCATGACGGTCATCAGAGGGTATTGGAAGCAGTCTATTCAGATACGGGGAGGTAGCCAAGATGGTAATGTGTTCGTCCACATCGAAGGCCCTGGTTCGATTCAAAACTTGGTACCAAATATGAAACATATTCCCAATGATCTACACAATAACACGATAATGGTGAAGAAATTGATGAAAACGGCTGATTGATTGATTCATAATTAAAAGTTTGATAGGTGTTCGCCCATTTACACCTTGTCCATCATAAATTCTTAAATTTTAGAAAGTATCAAAGCTACCACACGCTTTAATATAAGCAAGAATTACATTCTGGACCTTGTCCCCAACGATATTCCTTGAACATAAAAGTACAGCCACTGAGAGGTCAATATTGAGAGCTGTGAGAGATTCCACCATATCTTGATTTACATAGTGTTTGCAATGCAGTAAATAATGCGCCACATTTTCTAGTTGATTACACAAGAACGGCGTAATTCCGTTGAGTCGTCTCCCATTACATATACTTGAATAAGACAGATGGGATGGTAAATGTAGAACACACGTGTTCAACTTTCAGATAAACACTTAGGCAGACTATATTACAACTGCCTGCTATATATCCAGGTTAGCATGTATAGCAAGAAGGCATTGGCGGATTACAATATTTACATTCTAAGCATCCTCCGATGGCACAAAATGCACAGCCGATATATTTTTTTTCAGTAAAGGTTTCCGGCTCGGAAGCAGTCCGGATTCAAAATTTTGGAAGATGGAAACTGAAGTCCATTCTGTACGAGGTACTCACATACACAGCTTGAGGAAGTTCTCCCTGAGCGGCAAATACTCCTTCCTCCGAGGCATCGCAGATCAGCTGGATGTAGCTCTTCCTGTTGCAAGTAACAACATCATTCTCAGGTTGAAGCTGAATATTTGTTTGGTTGGTTGTTTGCTAACGCCGCTTTCAGCATTTTTACAACTAGGGTGGCGGTCTGTAAATATTCTAGTCTGGACTAGACGATCCAGTGATTGATATCATGACAATCGATCTACTATGTCTGAATTGGTAGAAGTGGTCTTCAGTAACCCATGCTTGTCGTAAGAGGCGACTAATGGGATCAGGTGGTCAGGCTCGTCGACTTGGTTGATACATGTCATCGTATCCCAATTGCGTAGATCGATGCTCATGATATTGAGCACCGGATTGTTTGGTCCAGACCCGATTATTTACAGATCGCCGCCATATCGCTGGAATATTGCTGAGTGCGGCGTTGAACAACAAACCAACCAGCCATCCGCGCTGCTGTGCAATCAGTACTACGCCTCAGTGGTAGACATAGAACAGTCATACTATGTCAGATTTCCTTTAAGGCCTGTACTAAAAAATGGGAGACAACATAACGTTTACACATTTAATCGGATGTTATTAAGAGACAAGTATAACACAAATACTGTTGCTATTCAATCCTAACATTATAGCTATATCAGCCTGTAAATAGAAGTGACAAAACCATTTCAATCATATGACTTTGACTGACTGACTGAGTTTCGTTTTACGCCGCTTTTAGCGATATTCCAGCAACATCGAGGCGGGTGACACCAGAAATGGGCTTCACACATTGTACCCATGTGGGGAATCGAACCCGGGTTTTCCGCGTGACGAGCCAACGCTTTAACCACTAGGCTACCCCACCGCCCCCATATGACTTTGAGTCATTTGTAGGATTCCGACAAAATCACAGTCATATGTCTATGAGTCATCATATCGTGATTATACAATGAGTTCGCGAAGGCTCAATGAGTGATGGTTTATTTGATGGGGAATTTAGAAGTTGAGTTGGTGAAGAATGATGACAATCTTTATGGATATAAAACTTTTTTTATTGTGAAAGACGAGGTTTCGACATAGATTCTAATGCCATCACTTGCTTGATAACGACATTAGAATCTATGTCGAAACGTCGCCTTTCACTATAAAAGAAGTTGTATATCCATAAAAATTGTCATCAATCTTCGAGTGATGGTTTAGTTAATTTTTTGGAATATGATAAATGTTTGTTTTGTTGTTTAACACCGCTCTCAGCAATATTCCAGCTATATGGCTTCGACCTGTAAATTATCGAATCTGGACCAAACAATCCAGTGATCAACATCATGAGCATCGATCTACGCAATTGGGATACGATGACGTGTGCCAACCAAGTCAGGGAACCTGACCACCAGATCCCGTTAGTCGCCTCTTACGACAAGCATGGCTTACTGAAGATCAATTCTAACCCGGCTCTTCACGGATATAACAAACCCACGGATGTTTTTTAAAGCGAGAGAGTGAAGTTAGCAATGATTCAAAACCACGTGTGTATGATGTACTCTGAATATGAAGGCTCGTTATTATAGAAAAAGATTTGTCTCTTGTAGCAAAGAAACGTTACAGGCACTAGTGGCTTCGGCAGAGCTACACTAACGAAACACCTATTTCCCGAATAATTTAATATTGTTCTTAAATCCAGCTCGGGGTGAAATATTGATTATGTTATTTTCATTTTTCACTTTGACAATATTCGGCTTATCCGAACAGTGTTGACCATATATTTGGTTATAAAGAACCCGGCCATTAGGATATAAAAAGGATTCAGCTCACCTGACCAGCTCACCTGACATGAACAGGTGCATTGAATTCTGAATGAACTCGGCTATCAGATAGAAATGGTTTAGCTCACCTGACCACGGCTACGGATGTTGTACATGACAGGAACAGGTGCGTGGAATTCTGAATGAACTCGGCCATCACATAGAAAGGGTTTAGCTCACCTGACCACGGCTGCGGATGTTGTATATGACAGGAACAGGTGTGTGGTATTCTGGATGAACTCGCCATCAGAATAAAAGGATTAAGCTCACCTGACCACGGCTGCGAATGTAGTGTATGACAAGAACAGGTGCGTGGTATTCTGGATGAACTCGGCCACTGTGTCGGAACCGAGCGCGTAGTCCATTCTCTTGTCATGTTGACACAGCTGATCAGACAGACAAAAGGAAAACCTTTTATCACCGATAGTTGGTAGTTTGAAATCTCTTATAATGGTTAAGCGAATCTGTTATTCTCTGACGTTGATATTTCACATTTACAGTTGTTTCAGCAATATCGAAGTAGTAACTAGTTAGAGTGAGTTAAGATTTATAGTTACGTCGGCAATATTTCAGCAATATCATGACTTTAAAAAGTTATGAATTCATAATAAACGCAACTGAACTATGAAAACCTGTCAACGAAGGACAGTAAAATAACTAGATTATCACAGAGAGAGAATTAAATCTAGCATGTCACTGTAAAATTAATTAAACTTTTATGGACAATGCGATATAAAAGACGGGCTGGATATCACCAGCAACTGAAGATAGGTCACCATGCTAGGGACCATGAAGTATCCAGTTAGACCTGAACTACCGGGGCAAGCGCTGCACTGCATAACATTTAGAGAATAGTGAGTGAGTTGGGTTTTGAGGTGGATTTGAGCGTTATTGAAGCTATGTCACATCGATGTATTTATTAACGAGTGTGGGCCAGTTGAACCAGTCATTGATACCAAAACACACACTCCGCCACGTAACACATTGAAAACCGACTGTTCTAAGATTACTTTAGATATTTTGAGTATTTCTATACATACCTCGACATTTTGGCAAGACTCAGACTCCGTAAATCCGTAGCATGGGTTCCATGAATAGGTATAGCTGTTCTGGTCGGGTATGTCCTTGAACCTGGAAGTTAAACATAAAGTTGGTGTTTGTTTTGTTTGTATATTGTTTAACGCCACACTTGGTTCTGGGCCAGACAATCCAGTGACTGACATCATGAACATCGATCCACACAATCCATGATCATTGCGCCCTACCGGCTGATCTCGTTTGGTCGATCGTTACAAGTGAGAGTTACTTGGGACCAATAATATAAACCTGAAGTGTGCTTCTCACTATATATTAAACATCTCTTGTTTTCCCGGAAATAACGCATTTGAGATTTTTGTTTTGCTCTCAGGTTTTACTTTTTGTAAGTAAGACCTCTTCCCAGGTTTTACTTTTTGTAATTATTTTGTCCCAACTCTATATGAACATCAACATTTAAATGTTAAATGAGTGTTTGAAATCAGTTGAAAATATCGTCCAGGTTTAATTTCAAAGTGCAAATGTTTTCCCGAGTAAGGTTGGAACCGCATCTTTCAGGTTAATTGAAACGGACGCTCTCCATCACGGCCACCGAGCCGACGAAAACTTTGGGGTTGAATTATCTATTAAATGATCATGTACATTATAATTATCCATCATTGACGGTTTATATGTTAGAGAAAACACTTCCCCTCGGTTTTGGTAGAGAATGTAAAACCTTGGGAGGAGGGTAATGCCTCCTCCCTCGGGTTTAAATTCTCTATCAAAACCTCGGGGGCGTGTTTTCCCCTATACTTCTTACCCGGAACCCCCTCGAGTTATGGGTGGCTTCAGGCGTAACATCACACGCTACTTTGAAAGTTCATGACGTATCATACTCATTATTGAATGATATGTTATTCATCATTAACAACATATTCCCTTTGTTAGAAAAATAATTTAAGGAAACGTATGCTAATGATATATACTCATGGTCATAAGTAAAGGTTTGTAGGGTGTCAAACATTTAACGTCAACAGTTGAAGAACAAGCTGTGTATGTCCTAGGACTGCACGGTATACCGGTATATCAAACAATACGTATTGCAATATTTTATTCTGATAACCGGTATATTGAATAAAGAATATATATATAGTTTTTGTGATTTCCTTTATGGTTTAAATTACAATCTACACAGACATTAATTTACAACAAATGTTTTCCTTCGTTATCCAATGACAAAACGAAATACTGTAATAGTATAAATTGTATAAAAAAGAAAATAGAACCCCTGACTATGCAACCTAAGTTTGCACAATTAGTGTCACTCATTGTCAAACACTTAAGTTCCCAATATTTCGCAATACGTATTGAAATACAGGTAACTGAATCGCAATACATTTACAATTTATTTGCCAATACACAGCCCTAGTATGTCCAAAGTCACACTGAGTTGATGATTTTATGACACCGGAAAATTGAAGTCTATAAAGAACAAGGAAAAATGCAAGACAGATGGTGACGGAAATGATACCCAAAGCACACGTGTGTGTGTGCGTTCGTGTTTGCTGTATGTAGCTGTTTGTACTTGTCCTCACTAATACAGGTGTTATGGTATTGTTTTAACCCCTCTCAGTCACTGCTTCCTGTCTCCGAGACAAGTCCTCGTCCCATCCTCTTAAAGGTCATCCGCAGGCAAGGTAACAACATGTACCATATTTTAAGTCATTCGTTGAGGCTCCCGAGGATTGAACCACAAGCTCCTCTCTAATGACACACGCTCTTTCCACATGCCCAGGGAGGAGATAGTTGCTTAACTTATAAACATGAGTATACACACACTTACCTGGGATCTCCATCTTGGTTCCCCAGTGGGGTAATATCAACTTTGCCAGACACGGTGTCCACCACACAAGTATTCAACCCTGGGATGGCCGCTGTGGCTAGATGTAAAACAAAGCCTACAGATATAAGACAGACAAACCTGCTGGCCGACATGCTGGCTGCGAGTGAGTGAGGGCAAACTGACCTCGTGACATTGATACTGTATCACGGTTAAGATAATCAGCTGATAGTGCACCCGTGTGATGAACATAGCCCGTTGATACTGTCATGATATCAAGTGAAATATTATAGGAAATAAAATTGATAAATTGCAGGACAAAATAATGTAAACGCACGCTTCATTGTGGCTAAGCAACTAACAAGCATTATTTGTTGGTGATAGTGTTGTGTTGATACATGTAGGCTATCTGTGAGAATGTGCTGTGTTTCGGAGGTGTTTCAGCATGGTAACGTTTCCAAAACGTGTATACCATCTTTTGCCTGGCTTTTGATTAACTTAATATATTAATTGTAGCTGACATTTAAGATGTTTGAGGGTAATGTCTATGGCATATATGAGCGACATGTTTCCAAATTATCTCAAGAACGAGTTGACTAGCTAGAGGTTTTATCGGAATTGAAATGCTGGTTTGAAGTCAATAATTATTGATTGACAATTCTCTCTCTCTCTCTCTCTCTCTCTCTCTCTCTCTCTCTCTCTCTCTCTCTCTCTCTCTCTCTCTCTCTCTCTCTCTCTCTTTATTATCACATTGTCTCTCCCTTTCTCTCCCCCTCTCTCTCTCTCTCCCACACTCTGTGTCTCGTTTTCGCCTCTCTCTCTCTCTCACCTCTCTCTCCGCCATATAGCTGGAATATTGCTTAGTACGGCGTAAAACTAAACTCACTAAAACTTTCTCTCTTTCTCCCTCTCTCTCTCCCCTCTTTCTTTCTCTCTCTCACACACACACGTATGATGTTTTGTCATGCTGTATTCGGGTGAATGTGTACTGACACCACAATAACAAGTAACTTAACCCCATGTATTTATCGCCTGTGTATAGTCGACGGCTATATCGAATTGACAAAGGTCAAAGATCGAAGCGATTGTTCCCGCCTACTTTGACCTCTACATTATTTGTTTACTAAAGGGACACGTGCCAAATTACATATACAACTTCAGAATAAAACGGTATAGTATATTGTATGCAGGGCTTTATGAGTCTCCGGCAATATTGTACATATAGCTTGTATTTTGAGTACATTTCAAAATTCGTAATATCCATAAAATGTATCATTTTACGTAAAATAATTTACGACGAGAGAACATGTTAAGCCACATTTTACCTGCAGTCCCGAAAACATACTTTGTGGTAGTTGTTTCATTTTAACATTTTGTCATCTTGATCTAGAAAGAATTGCCCGATTGATAAAATATTTGCTACGTATGTCATATAAGAACATTGTAAAAGAAATATAAATATTTGTAATCTTTATGGCTGAAACAAAATTACTTATTTGTCGGAAGAGGGAAACTACAACATTTCGAGTTTGTGTTGTTAGTTTTACGGAAGAAACCTTACAGACGCTAAAAATAAAATGCCTACATAAGACGCGGTATTGCACCGTCGTCTGAAAAAATACCTACGTCACGCAAGGCCATGTACTTCTATCCAGCAGATAAGGCGATCTGACAGGCCTACAGTGGATATCACCCGGCTGTAATAATGGCGGGGCAGGTGATCCAAGTTATTTATCTACTGGCCATGTTTAAAGCAGGGATTTGTGTCATTCCTTTAATCCAATGCTTTCCGAAGACCACTTGTTCGTGTCACACTGGGGAAGGAACGATTGATCTCCACCCTCTTGCCAATACCGACGGTACACCACGGTGAGTGTGAAAGTGTGTAGAATGTTATACGTCCTACAAACGTAAGGAAAATAGTATATCCCGCCACGATAAGAAACCTCGCTCCTCTGGTATGTGTAAGTGATTTTGCCGGGTTAAACAAAACTGCTTATCATGAAAGCGGCAATAATTCGTGATTTTTTTTAATGACGTCACATACAAAGTATTACAGAAACAATGGTTGCTAGTCAAAAGTATCATGTGCACAAATGACATATATGACACTAGTTATGTTTCACCATAGGGGTACTAAAACGTCTTAATGCACATGTGTGTTGGTCATTAAATATACAATAGTTTGACCTGGCTACTCGTAAATTGTGATACAACTTCTTTAATGCACTCGTTAGACTAAGGATCCTTATGATGTATCAATAATTCTTCAGATTCCGGGACATCGCCGACCCCGATGGGAAAACGTTCTACTCCTGGAACCCCTGCTATGGTTTTGATGAGGTTGGATGCTGGGACGTTGCAGTAAGATGAACAAATATTCTTGAATGAACAGTTTCCATGCTGTCATTTCAATAACAATTGTGCTTTTGGATAAGACTGACTGACTGACTGAGTTTAGTTTTACGCCGCTTTTAGCAATATTCCAGCAATATCACGGCGGAGGACACCAGAAACGGGCTTAACACATTGTGCCCATGTGGGGAATCGAACCCGGGTCTTCAGCGTGACGAGCCAACGCTTTAACCACTAGGCTACCCCACCGCCCCTTTTTAGACAAGAACCCAACGAGCTATGTGGTAGGCTAGTGGTTAAAGTGTTCGCTCGTCACGCCGAAGAGTTGACTTCGTTTCTCCGTAAGTGTGTAGTGTGCAGTACACACTTAGTACAGTGTGTGAAACCCACTTTTGGTGATATTCCATGACATTGTTTGAATAGGCTAAGAGCGGTGTAAATTCTCACTCACTCACTCACTGGTTAAAAAGAACACGGTTTCTGCATTTCCAACAGGATTTGTGTACATGTGCTAGCCCTATTGCTGTAGTTTGTGTACACGTGCTAGCCCTAAGGCTGTAGTTTGTGTACATGTGCTAGCCCTATTGCTGTAGTTTGTGTACACGTGCTAGCCCTATTGCTGTAGTTTGTGTACATGTGCTAGCCCTATTGCTGTAGTTTGTGTTCATGTGCTAGCCCTATTGCTGCAGTTTGCGTACATGTGGTAGCCCTATTGCTGCAGTTTGTGTACATGTGCTAGTCCTATTGCTGTAGTTTGTGTACATGTGCTAGCCCTATTGCTGTAGTTTGTGTACATGTGCTAGCCCTGTTGCTGTAGTTTGTGTACATGTGCTAACCCTATTGCTGCAGTTTGCGTACATGTGCTAGCCCAATTCCTGCAGTTTGCGTACATGTGCTAGCCCTATTGCAGTAGTTTGTGTACACGTGCTAGCCCTATTGCTGTAGTTTGTGTACATGTGCTAGTCCTAAGGCTGTAGTTTGTGTACACGTGCTAGCCCTATTGCTGTAGTTTGTGTACATGTGCTAGCCCTGTTGCTGTAGTTTGTGTACATGTGCTAGCCCTATTGCTGTAGTTTGCGTACATGTGCTAGGACAATTCCTGCAGTTTGTGTACACGTGCTAGTCCTATTGCTGCAGTTTGTGTACACGTGCTAGCCCTATTGCTGTAGTTTGTGTACTTGTGCTGGTCCTATTGCTCTAGTTTGTGTACATATGCTAGTCCTTTTGCTGTAGTTTGTGTACACGTGCTAGTCCTATTGCTGTAGTTTGTGTACATGTGCTGGTCCTATTGCTGCAGTTTGTGTACACGTGCTAGTCCTATTGCTGCAGTTTGTGTACTTGTGCTGGTCCTATTGCTGTAGTTTGTGTACATGTGCTAGTCCTATTGCTGTAGTTTGTGTACACGTGCTAGTCCTATTGCTGCAGTTTGTGTACACGTGCTGGTCCTATTGCAGTAGTTTGTGTACACGTGCTAGTCCTATTGCTGTAGTTTGTGTACTTGTGCTAGCCCTATTGCTGCAGTTTGTGTACATGTGCTAGTCCTATTGCTGTAGTTTTTGTACATGTGCTGGTCCTATTGCTGTAGTTTGTGCACATGTGCTGGTCCTATTGCTGTAGTTTGTGTACACGTGCTAGTCCTATTGCTGTAGTTTGTGTACACGTGGTAGCCCTATTGCTGCAGTTTGTGTACATGTGCTAGCCCTATTGCTGCAGTTTGTGTACATGTGCTAGATCTATTGCTGTAGTTTGTGTACATAATTTGCAGGGTCCTATTGCTGTAGTTTGTGTACGTATTGCTGGTCCTATTGCTGTAGTTTGTGTACACGTGCTGGATCCTATAGCTGTAGTTTGTGTACACGTGCTAGTCCTATTGCTGCAGTTTTGTGTACGTGCTGGTCCTATTGCTGTAGTTTGTGTACACGTGCTAGTCCTATTGCTGTAGTTTGTGTATAGCTTGTGCTAGCGCTATTGCTGCAGTTTGTGTGCACGTGCTAGTCCTATTGCTGTAGTTTGTGTACATGTGCTAGTCCTGGATTATTGCTGTAGTTTGTGTACACGTGCTAGCCCTATTGCTGTGGTTTGTGTGCTTGTGCTGGCCCTATTGCTGCAGTTTGTGTACATGTGCTAGATCCTATTGCTGTAGTTTTGTACATGTGCTGGTCCTATTGCTGTAGTTTGTGTACACGTGGTAGCCCTATTGCTGCAGTTTGTGTACATGTGCTAGCCCTATTGCTGCAGTTTGTGTACATGTGCTAGTCCTATTGCTGTAGTTTGTGTACATGTGCTGGTCCTATTGCTGTAGTTTGTGTACACGTGCTAGATCCTATAGCTGTAGTTTGTGTACACGTGCTGGATCCCTATTGCTGCAGTTTGTGTACATGTGCTGGTCCTATTGCTGTAGTTTGTGTACACGTGCTAGTCCTATTGCTGTAGTTTGTGTACTTGTGCCAGCGCTATTGCTGCAGTTTGTGTACACGTGCTAGTCCTATTGCTGTAGTTTGTGTACATGTGCTAGTCCTATTGCTGTAGCTTGTGTACACGTGCTAGTCCTATTGCTGTAGTTTGTGTACACGTGCTAGTCCTATTGCTGCAGTTTGTGTACTTGTGCTGGTCCTATTGCTGTAGTTTGTGTACATGTGCTAGTCCTATTGCTGTAGTTTGTGTACACGTGCTAGCCCTATTGCTGTAGTTTGTGTACTTGTGCTGGTCCTATTGCTCTAGTTTGTGTACATGTGCTAGTCCTTTTGCTGTAGTTTGTGTACACGTGCTAGTCCTATTGCTGTAGTTTGTGTACATGTGCTGGTCCTATTGCTGCAGTTTGTGTACACGTGCTGGTCCTATTGCTGCAGTTTGTGTACTTGTGCTGGTCCTATTGCTGTAGTTTGTGTACATGTGCTAGTCCTATTGCTGTAGTTTGTGTACACGTGCTAGTCCTATTGCTGCAGTTTGTGTACATGTGCTGGTCCTATTGCTGTAGTTTGTGTACACGTGCTAGTCCTATTGCTGTAGTTTGTGTACTTGTGCTAGCCCTATTGCTGCAGTTTGTGTACATGTGCTAGTCCTATTGCTGTAGTTTTTGTACATGTGCTGGTCCTATTGCTGTAGTTTGTGTACATGTGCTGGTCCTATTGCTGTAGTTTGTGTACACGTGCTAGTCCTATTGCTGTAGTTTGTGTACACGTGGTAGCCCTATTGCTGCAGTTTGTGTACATGTGCTAGCCCTATTGCTGCAGTTTGTGTACATGTGCTAGTCCTATTGCTGTAGTTTGTGTACATGTGCTGGTCCTATTGCTGTAGTTTGTGTACATGTGCTGGTCCTATTGCTGTAGTTTGTGTACACGTGCTAGTCCTATAGCTGTAGTTTGTGTACACGTGCTAGTCCTATTGCTGCAGTTTGTGTACATGTGCTGGTCCTATTGCTGTAGTTTGTGTACACGTGCTAGTCCTATTGCTGTAGTTTGTGTACTTGTGCTAGCGCTATTGCTGCAGTTTGTGTACACGTGCTAGTCCTATTGCTGTAGTTTGTGTACATGTGCTAGTCCTATTGCTGTAGTTTGTGTACACGTGCTAGCCCTATTGCTGCAGTTTGTGTACACGTGCTTGTCCTATTGCTGCAGTTTGTGTACACGTGCTGGCCCTATTGCTGCAGTAGGTGTTCACGTGCTAGTTCTATTGCTTCAGTTTGTGTACACGTGCTAGCCCTATTGCTGCAGTTTGTGTACACGTGCTAGCCCTATTGCTGCAGTTTGTATACACGTGCTGGTCCTATTTCTGCGGTTTGTGTACACGTGCTAGCCCTATTGCTGCAGTATGTGTTCACGTGCTAGTCCTATTGCTGCAGTTTGTGTACACGTGCTAGTCCTATTGCTGCAGTTTGTGTACACGTGCTAGTCCTATTGCTGCAGTTTGTGTACATGTGCTAGTCCTATTGCTGCAGTTTGTGTACACGAGTTAGCCCTATTGCTGCAGTTTGTGTACACGTGCTAGCCCTTTTGCTGCAGTTTGTGTACACGTGCTTGCCCTATTGCTGCAGTATGTGTTCACGTGCTAGTCCTATTGCTGCAGTTTGTGTACACGTGCTAGACCTATTGCTGCAGTTTGTGTACACGTACTAGTCCTATTGCTGCAGTTTGTGTACATGTGCTAGTCCTATTGCTGCAGTTTGTGTACACGAGTTAGCCCTATTGCTGCAGTTTGTGTACACGTGCTAGCCCTATTGCTGCAGTATGTGTTCACGTGCTAGTCCTATTGCTGCAGTTTGTGTACACGTGCTAGTCCTATTGCTGCAGTTTGTGTTCACGTGCTAGCCCTATTGCTGCAGTTTGTGTGCACGTTATTAGCCCTATTGCTGCAGTTTGTGTACACGTGCTAGTCCTATTGCTGCAGTTTGTGTACACGTGGTAGACCTATTGCTGCAGTTCATCCACTTTTGGATGGTTGGTTTGTTGTTTAACGCTGCACTCAGCAACATTCCAGCTATATGGCGGCGGTCTGTAAATAACCAAGCCTGGACCAGACAATCCAGCGACCAACATGAGCATCGATCCACACAATTGGGATACGATGATTTGTGTCAACCAAGTCAGCGAGCCTGACCACCCAAACCCGTTAGATGTTTCATCACGGGTCTCGTCCACTGAGATGTTTACTACTGGTACCCCACTTACTTTATGCCTTAATGCAGAGTGCCAGCCAGGGTAATCACAAGTTCCATCTTCTTTTGGTGTTATGGCCGGGAATCGAACAACAAGCCTTAAGCCCTTCAGACAGACACTAAGTCCGCTTGACCACGGAGGCAACCGTTGCTTAACTCAAAATCATGAGTTCACATATACCTACCTGATCTTTCTAACTTGATACCAACCTTTTCAACTTTGCTTTATCGCGGCGTTGTAAATGTTATAAAGTGTTCTATAATATCATTGCGATCAGTCAGTGTTTATACTTTGCATAGGGCGATGGGTCAGCCTAGTGGTTAAAGTGTCCTCTCGTCACGCCGAAGACCCGGGTTCGATTCCCCACATGGGTACAATGTGTGAAGCCTATTTTTGGTGTCCCTCGCCGTGATATTGCTAAAAGCGGTGTAAAAGCATATTCACTCACTACAATTCGTATTCTATTTGTGTTCAACAGGTGTGCAAGATCACGGACCATGGTGTGTCCAGCGTGAGCCTTGGCCCGCAGTCCAGTGTCCACTTCGTGGTCGACTCCGTGTATGGACAGCTGCTTAAGTACACGCAGTGGGGGTCAGCGAACTAGTAGGTGTTCCTTGACACAGTATATGGGGCGGTGGGGTAGCCTGATGGTTAAAGCGTTGGCTCGTCACGCCGAAGACCCGGGTTCGATTCCCCACATGGGTACAATGTGTGAAATTCATTTTTGGTGTCCCCCGCTGTGATATTACTTGAATATTGCTACAGGCGGCGTAAAACCGAACTTACTCACTCACTGACACAGTATACACATTCTGCCTTACGTTGGTTCATCTTGATTGAATTGGTCTTTAGCAAACCACGCTTGACGCAAAAGGTGGCTAACGGGATCGGGTGGTCAGGCTCGCTGACTTGGTTGACACAAGTCATCGTATCCCAATTGTGTAGATCGATGCTTGTCGTAAGTGGCGATTAACGGGATCGGGTTGTCAAGCTTGCTGGCTTGGTTGACACATGTCATCGTATCCGAATTGTGTAGAACGATGCTCATGGTGTTGATCACTGGATTATCTGGTCAAGACTCGGTTATTTACACACTATTATCTTTATGGTTAGGATAACCCCTCTGTAACTGACAGCATGTCTTGTTGCGCATTTTATACCCATCATGAAACAGAAGCATCACCCTCTTCCTTATTTCAAAACGTATTTATGTTTTGTAAATAATAACCGCACATACACACGCTCCGTACACGCGATTACACTCACTCCAGCTGCACATACTCGTCATACTACACTGGCGCCCAATACAGTACAAACACAAAGCACTGAAGCGAAGCATGTGATTAAAAGGTACCCAAACAGCAGTTACCCACGGAGTTATTTAAAGAACAAAACACAGCATATAGTCAGCTGCGGAATCTGTATTTCAATATTGGAAAAACACACATTACACACGAAAAACGAAAATAAGGATTCCTTAATTTAAGGCAGTGACAGAGGAAACTCATCATTGTTTTCCTAAGTCTTACTCACTTAAAAAAGTATGATATAGCACGTCTTCTATTTCCATGCCAACCGTAGTTCAGGAATCATCATTCTCACCTGCGATCACACCGAGGAAGGCGTCGTTACTCGTCGCCCCAACAGTGACTTCGGCAGCTACTTCGTAAGTAGAATGTGTAAAGTCTTTTGTCAGTCATGACACCAAAACTTATATCTTCTGTCTGTCATTACCGTCTCTGCTGTTTTCATCTCAAACTGATTTTCATTAATTAATCAAGATCAGTGCAAGCGGATTCAATTGACCTTTATTCGACCTTTGACGTTTTGTTACCGTTATGCCAATGTAACCTCTTGTTTTACAATTATGGAAAGGCGCTAACATCTTGTTTGACCATTATGGCAAGACGGTAAAATCTTGTTTGATCAAGATGCCAAGGCGATAACATTTTGTTTGATCATTATGCCAAGGAGCTAACCTCTTGTTTGACGATTATGCCAAAACGGTAACATCTTGTTTGGTCATTATTCCAAGGCGGTGACATTTTTTACCGTTATGTCAAAGCGGTAGCATTTTGTTTGACCATTATGCCAGGACGGTGACATTTTGTTTTATCATTATGCTAAGTCGCTAACTTTTTGTTTGACGATAATGCCCAGACGGTGACATCTTGTTTGACCATTATGCCAAGACGGTGAAGTCTTGTTTGATCATTATGCCAAGGCGGTGACATTTTGTTTGATCATTATGCCACGACGGTAGCATTTTGTTTGACGATTATGCCAAGACGGTAACATCTTGCTTGATCATTGTGCCAGGACAGTAACATCTTGTTTGATCAATATGCCAGGACGGTACATCCTGCTTGATCATTATGCCAAGATGGTAACAACTTGCTTGATCATTATGTCAAGACGGTAACATCTTGCTTGATCATTATGTCAAGACGGTAACATCTTGCTTGATCTTTATGCCTAAGCTGTAACATATTGTTTGATCCTTATACCGAGGCGGTAACATTGTTTGACCATTTTACCAAGACGGTAACTTCTTGCTTGATCTTTATGCTTAGGCTGTAGCATATTGTTTGATCCTTATACCAAGGCGGTAACATTGTTTGATCATTTTACCAAGACGGTAACATCTTGCTTAGTCTTTATGCTTAGGCTGTAGCATATTGTTTGATCCTTATACCAAGGCGGTAATATTGTTTGACAATTATGCCAAGGCGGTAACATGTCATTGTTGTAACATGAGAGGTTCAGTTCTATGTCATCAAACAACTTCATGTAATTCTGTTTGTTGTCGGTTATTAGGTTTGATGTCAGTAATATTACAACAGAAAAGAAACTTTCCAACGCTACTACTACCCTATCTATTCCAGATAACGCCGCTTTGAACAATGCCGTTATTTCTGTTAGAAGGCGTCAAGGAGTAAAAGATATCTAAATGAAGGTCTTTGACGTTTACCACTTTAAACCCATGAAACAGGCATGATGCTATCAAACCAAGAATAAAAATGGCGAATGACAATAATAGGATGCGTGAAAGCCTAAAGGACGCAACTTAACCTATTCGAGATATGTTGAGCGACTGTGCCTTACACGCATGCTCTTCTTGTATAAAGATATTCGTTGTCCCCCTGTTATTCTGTTGCGAATCTTGTTTCAGTACCTAGAACTGAGGAGTAAGCATGCATGTCCAATCAAAATAAATGGAAGTACAACAGCGCCACCTACTGAGTCCACAAAGAGGTATCGACGGCCGATAACTCCTGCGTTCATCAGACCAGCAATCACACCCTCCAAACCTTCACCCGCGCCTCTTTTAGATTTGAACACACTCGGCACTGTCTCCATCTGCCTGATGTAAGCAAAACCATTACTGTGCACAGTATTAGCGTACCTTGCATACAGTGTATTATTGATATCTGAAAAGTTTGATGCAAGGAACGTTAATTTGGCTGTATCATTCGTTCAAACATGAAAAATGTTAGAAAATCAACATCACGCTTTTACATATTATTTGAACAGATTTTCTAGGAACCTTAAGAAATATCGATCTCTAGGTTCCTACTATGTACCATTTCCACTATGTTATTGGCATATATTTAGGAATGTCAGATTGTGACGTCAGCTGGTGTTGTCGCCAAGGTGAAAGCAACCTGCCTTATTGGTGACAACTGCACAAACACATAGATGTCTTTCCTTTAGAAACAGTTAGTCTTCTTCTGGTGTATATCACTTGCGGTCCTGCCTTAACCAGAAGCCTAGCAACTGTTCATTTTGTATAGGGTGATTAAAATTCATTGTAGCATACAAATGAAATAATTTAAATATCAGCCGAAATTATAAACGCTGTTTACTCATTTAGCTGATATCTAGCTGTCGGACCCTGAACAGCGCTCAGACACTGTTTTCTTATGCATATATTACTGGGGGGTTTCAAATTCCTGTGACATATCTGAAATTTGCTTACGTCTAATCAGGCGGGTAGCAAGCCACTTTCCTCTCATGTAAAGCCATAGGTCGCAGCGCTTAATATTTAGATAGGATTTAGGGCTTGCCCAACCTATTAAGCAATGTCTATTAAACAATCATGTGTAAGCCCGGGCATTTTTTTAATAATGGTAGCTACGCCCCTGCTAATGAATAACAAATAATAATGTTAACACATACATCTATAGTTAACAAAAGTACTTTTTCCCTACAGAGTATTGATGGTCCTACTGATCATCCTGGTGTCCACCATGTTCTGCTGTCTCTACCGCCGGCTGAACGCTATCGCTGGACAAAGATCTTCACACAAACTGTCATCTGTGACAATCAATGGCAAATATGGGATGAACGATCCATGAATACTACCCGATCCCAGTAATACAGTAATCTCAGATCACCGATCAGTTAGAACGCTGTTATATCCAGTTGGACACCTGGTGTCATCACTGATTTCAGCCATCCATTCATACAATTGTCACGGCGTGTGTTTCCTTTACACATAATTGAATTTGTTTCTAAGGATAGTTAAGGCTGGCGGTTCTTTTGCACTTAGGTTCTATGTTATAACAGGTGCCACTTGTTCGTTCATGGAACTGATCGTCATACAAATGATATATGGAGGTAAATGGCCATTGAGATGCATGTTTTCGACTCAATCTTTATATATTTGTTAATGCTATTTATGTAAATATATGTTCCTCTATGACCAATCAAATCACCATAATTTGTTTGTACGTTTTGTTCACATAAAAATCCCGAATATAAACATATATGTTGTGTTGCGTTTTGAAAGCGATTCTCAAAACCACGCATTTGGTTTGGTTGTGAACGAATTTAAGGAAGAATGAAATGCTGTGTAGGAAATGTATAAGTTTAAATTTATTTATGGCATCTAAATTCCAGAGGCGCGGGTCATAGGCTGTTTGGAACGGCAGGGCTTTCACTTCATGCTGGGAAGTCTGAAAGGCAGTGGTTTTCTCTATGTCATCTGGAAGTTCATTCCAGAGGATTTGACCAGCCTTAATAAAACTCCTGTCGCCACATGATGGTGTTCGGGTTTTGGTGGCACAGTTAGCTGCTGAGAGTAAGTTCAACGCTTAACCAGGTATGGAATTCTCGTTGTCCGATTGTCGTCTTTACAAGCAAAACTTGTCAAAAATACCCAAAGCGTAACAATGCTAGACAATGTCCGAATGTTGTCGCTCCTTCGCTCTAGACTTCATTTAGGGCTTTAGCACTCCAGAAGGGGCTGGGAAGGGGAAAAAATAATACAGAGACTGTCAGAAGACCGCATAGATCTGTACATGATTGTATAATTTATTAATCGTTCGTTGTACATAACGTTCATTTACCACCGCTGGGTAATGTATGGAGATATGAAAGCATCTCTAAAGGAGGAAGATGGCCTTCTCATAATATGCGGATTGACATTGTCACGCCCAATGTATGTCTGTATTTACGCGTTGTGTTTAATTATATCATACTGTGAAGAGTTGCGCCACTTAGTGCTGTCAGGATCCAAAGATCGTTTGGTCCAATCTCAGTTCCTGATGGATTATGATTCTTGGTTTGTCAGAAATATTCTCGTATAAAATGTTTTTTAATCATCTGCGCCAAATAATAACACCTCAACACGGCAATTTGGAAACTTTCGAACCCCCTCACACACTCACACACACACACACACACACACACCTCTTTGAAAATTTCTGGATCCGCTGACACACACACACCCCTCTTTTGAAAATTTCTGGATCCGCCTATGTTGCCTTACCGATCACAAATGGCTTTACTTTCACAGTTCCGCTTGCATTTGCACACAATGCCACAGTTATTCTGTCCTTTGAACGTTTCACATCAGACGTGGCTTTAGTTGCTAGGGTGTAATTTGGTCCTAATCTGTAAAAATGTCCTGTTTCATCAAATGGTTTCGGCGGCGTACTCGCTTAAAACTTTCTTCAGTTCCTCTCTCCCCGCGATGACTGCAGTCTTGTCGGCACTGGCTGCTTCACCCTGGAGCGCTTGCTTCGATATAGAGTGTCGAGATTTGAATCTGGCCAGCCATCCACGAGAATACGCGAAATCCTTAACTGACAACTTGTCACCGAAGTCTTTCGCTTTTAGAATCAACATCTCGTCATTAACAGCTGCATTCTTACTGGTCATGTCATTCATCCATAAAAAGAGCGCCTCCTCCACTTTCTGATGTTTGACGTTTCTTGCTCGAGACAGGGCCGCAGAATCTTTAGGAACGGTAAGCCATTTTTCCTTGGACTTCAAGATGTCACCGATTGTAGATTTTCCGACTGAGTGTCCAAATAATTCACCAAAGTGTTTACTTAGGAAATCTAAACTTGCTTTTGGATGTTCTTCCTTGTATCTTGCAATCTCTCTCTTTTCGAATGCGGTAGTCTCATTTCGTTTTCTTTTAGTAGGCTGACTCGCCATGTTTGCCATGACTAGCCATGTAACGGTATATCGCAATACGCTTTTCAAACGATACGTGTTGCAATATTTTTTTCTGTGAACCGGTATATTGGATAAAGAACATATTTGAAGTTTTTGTAATAATCTTTATGGTTTATACTATAATCTACACAACATTCATTTCATTCACAACATTCATTCACTGTCAATCACAACAAATGTTTTCCTTCGTTATTCAATGACAAAACGGAATACTGTAATGCTACAAATTAAATAAAAAAGAAAATAGAATCCCTACCCATGCAACCTTATTCTGAGATTGCTGTTATCAGAACCATAACATAAATGTTTAGGGACTTATAATGTAGAAAGTAGGATTGACATGCACAATTAGTGCCACTAGATGTCAAACACTTAAGTTCCCAATATATCGCAGTAAGTAATGCAATATGGGTACCTGAATCGCAGTATGCTGCAATACAATATATTTGCCAATACACAACAATTGTATGATTCTGTCTATATGATGAGTATGTGGTGATGAATCACTAGTGATGACACCAGGTGTTCCACCAGTGGCACCTGTTACAAACACGTTCAAAGGCGAGACAACTGTTCACCTGAAACATCACGTGAACACATCACACTAATGAAATAGATTGCTGAGGACATCAGTGTGTAACTGACCCGTCCAATGTGGAAAAATACTCCTCAAGTCTAGATTTTTTAGTATTATCAACCAGGCCCATAGTACAAGTATATACAAAGTTCAACAGCAGAGTGGATTCCTCTTCAAAATTGCATGACAGATAAACAGTGCAATATTTTCAATAAATATGCGGTTAGCAGTAGACAATAGTTGGATACATTTACGTTTGTTTCGGAAAATAACTGGGTATATATTTGCTTCTGATGTTACCAAAATAATCACAAATTAGCAGAACATGGTATTCATCTTCAAGGATATTATCTGCACAGTATCTGCATACAGTAGATTTCTTATAACAACTTAAATCATAATAAAAGGAATGAAACTGCGATAAGGCTATTCTTACTTTCTTAATATTGATATAACGTACATAATTATGGTTCAAACATGAAATTTTCTTTAAACAGGGAATATGTAAACCTACAGGGACTACTTTGGAGTTTTGCATGCCACTCCTGTATAAAGCAATCTTTGCTTCTTCTTACAAGTAAACTTAAGAAATGATGTTTATTTCCAACTCCCTGCCATATCCACGCACAGCCAAGTCCAAATCTAAATAGAACTGTTTTTACATGTGAAACCCGATTAAACAATTACGCTCCGCGCTAGCGTTTAAATCTAGAATACGTAACATTTTGTAAGCTTTAAATGGGTAGCGTGAAGGGGGATATGAGCTTTAACTAGTAAGCAATACGGCGTTTAAGTGTGTACACATGGATAGGATATGTAAGTTTCTCCAAGGACAATTATATTTGGTGTACACATTCGCACACCAAGGAATCGTTTACAATACCCTTTCCAAGCAATCAGATTTGTGAACGTCTGACCCCTATAGTAATACAGGTAGTATCTTACAGTCGAATGTGTTGAAATAGATATCATATGACAAGTCTATAAAGCTACAAAGGCATTTTATTATAGACACTAAAGCTGTCTTTGCCTTAATGGAACTGTTTTCAACAGAGGGGGACCAATCTATTGGGGAGTCTATTGTTAAACATTAAGAAGATTTACCGAGACCTTGACTGTTGACCAGTATACAGCTGGAATATTGCTGAGTGCGGCGTTTAACGACAAACCAATCTTGAATGTTGTAAGCGGCTGGTCATTTGACATCATTTGGGATGGGTCAGAGGAAATCAGGGATGGTCACTCCAAATATGACCGGGAGGGTCATAATACTAGTACACAGTTAGTGGAGGAAGGACAAGTGGGGTGGGGGCTTGGGGTTAGCCATAACGAGTGAATTATTGTAAAAACATATGAGGGGCTCTTGAATTTCATCTTTTCGGGGTGGGCCATGAAAAAATATTCAACGACATTTTGGGGGTCATCCAAATGTTTGGGGGGAAGGTTAATACTGTTTTGATCAAAAAAACCTCTACATCAAATGTACAATTTATCAAAACTATAATAATGTAAGAAAAGTACTGTTAAATTATTTAATTATTTATAATTGTCATAATTATGCCCCTGTTCATTAGCTTATCAAGTACTGAGACCCACATCCTACCACCCACCTCTAGCTATATACATAGGGTATATGATACACGTATCGGGCTTCGTGAAGGTCAAAGTTCACCCGGAACTTGTCACAGAGATAAAGGTGTTTATAAACCACGTATCACGTTGAATGGCCACTTCAAACCATCCATCAGCTGCAACCATGATGAAGTCCTCCAGCGCCATATTGATGCTAGCTGTGGTTGGTGGGGTTCTACAAGGGACCAGCAGTGTTCCCATCAAACCTTGTGTTCCCAAGTCAACATGTTCCTGTGTTAACGCTGACGGGTTAATAGATCTTCACCCACTTGGAAACAACGATGGGACACCCAGGTGAGTGTAGACTGGAGTAGTCTCAATTTTTATATTCATTATGAACAATGCCTTACGTCATTTAAATAAGGGCGGTTGGGTAGCCTAGTGGTTAAAGGATTTTTAAAAAGGTCACTTCACATTGTGTATTTTCGCTCTAAATGAACCCCTGGGTATATATAATATTCACAAATTACAGTTAAAATCAGGAATCTGAAACGCACCTCCCTCGAAAGCATTTTGCGATTACGCAAGATAATGAGGTAGATGATCACGTGGTCGCGTGACGTCATACCGGAGAGTCGCTACATCAACACACGGAAGATACAGTGGTACCGAGCCTGTTCGCTTACTGAGGTCTGCTTCTAGTTTAGCAAATAAATCAATCCACGAAGTCAAACCTGGATTTGGATGGCATAATAGATACAGATAATATCACATACATACAACCTTATCAATTTAAAAGTATTTCTAGGGGCAGGACCGACATGAATATATGATTCCACCAGTTGACAACATACAGCCGTGGACGATCCCGATCCTGACTGTTTTGAATAGACCTACTGCAGACTGGTATGCAAGTCATTTGCCTGTCACATGTTCATGGAAAACTGATTAGATACTGAATTAATTTTTTTCCGCGGTCACGGTAACATTTGCAGTCATGATAACGGCAATGTTCGATCAATGTGTTCAGCCTGTCTTTCGGTATACATCGGTATGGGAAAGTAAACACTGAAATAGTTACGTTCGAGGTTCATGATTTTATGAAGGTTATTAAGTAACTTTCAGCTTTATTTCATAAAATGCGTCTCCTGCTAAAGTCGATAAGTTCGATCTCACTACTGTATTGTTGAGAAGTCCCCCTAAATTCGTTAGTGTATGTTTTCAGAGAAGTCGGTGTATCGTCTCTGGTCTCTGATATGGTGCATCAAACATCAGTTTAATTACATTTTCAATTTCCATACACGTGTAAAGCATCGGTTATATGTCGTGATACTTAGTCATTTAAATCTGCAAAATATACATAAAATGTAAAATGATAAAGACCCAGCTGTAACCTCCTTAACAGCTGATAATAGATATAATAAATAAATATAGATGCAAAAAATAGAACTAACAAATCCTTATCGTTCTCTTTAAAAAAGAAAATTCTTCATTGTGTTCTAGTAGTAATGTGTAAAGTGTGATCAGTCCCAAAGAAAGGCCAGCGATCAAATCAAGAAACCAGCACACAAAAATTAAAACAAATAGTATATTTGTATACAAACTGTTTATGACAAAATCATGAATACAGTGTGTACACCAACATCATGAAGGCAAAGGCTTGTGTGTATATTAACTGGATGGACTGGTAAAAGCCTAAGAAAACAAGACTTCTCTCCAATAACACCATGTGACACAGTGGTGACTGCAACTTGGAAACATTTACCATCTGAACAAGTCCCAGGATTCAAAAAGACGAATACAATAGACCTTAAGACATCGGGCACAACTGGTTTCAGTTCACACCCTAGACACATATGCATGATTTCATTTTCTATATTGATGTCAGTGAATTCACCTTTTCCTGTTTATTAGTTATAAATAAAAGTGTCTAGCAGAATATCCTGGAAAAATAGGCTGTTGTGTCCTGCAAGTCTGTAGGAAGGAAACATGTTTCTTCTCTCGAGAATGTCCCTGAGTAGGAATTCCACATACCCTGTGAATAAATTTTGGATTGGATTAGAGACATTTTGTAACACAATTTCAGGATATTTTGTTTTGGCAACCATAATAATAATTTTCTTTGAAATCTGCACTAAAAGAAAGTGCTTTTGTCGTTACATATGCTGAGAGGGAAAATAGATATGAGGAATAAAAACCAGTGTCTTTGCAAACAAGACTTAGTGTTGACTCATTGGGTAGGGAAAAACATGCAGTAATAGGAACAGTGGGGTTTTTTTCAAAGTGGAGTGCACCAGTTCAACAAAAAAAATATTGATTGTCTGAATTATATTTACCACGTGTTGGTTTCTTGTTCACTGGCTTGGCCTCTTGGTTTAGGCCAAGGGGTAGCTGATTGTCCACTTGGGTTCTGCAGTCCTGGTCACTTCTAGGGTATATAGGCTGTTTTCATTGATGTGAAATGTTGCCATGTTCATCCTAACAAATAGCATTAAAGTAGCATTTTTACATTTGCCAAAAATAAAACCCACAAAAAATACATTATCTGAATGAACATATTTCCCTGATTTACCATTTTTGAAAGTTAGTTAAAAGTTACCTATACATACAGCTACCGTGATGTTTTTACAAGGGGTGCATAAATACCTAACGTTTATGCCAGTGGAGAGCAGTCATTTTCATTTTATTTATTGTACATTGCCTTAAAGAGAGAAAGAGTGAAAGTCAACATTTTAATCATGCCCTAACACACACACACACATTTCACATACCATTTTAACATGGTAGGGGACCAGTCCCTGGTGGATAATTATCTGCTATGACTCATTTTTAATTATGTTTTAATAATTATGTGCTCTCTCTCACCACCGCACCCATATGTTGCAAGTTCTCATTTGTCCATGCACACCCCATCCTAATCCCTTCACACACACTCACACCACAACACACCAGTCTCGGGAAATAGATGACTTGGCCCTACTGAGTAACAGTAACAGTGGCTGTGAAAATATATCTCTGATCGAAAATAGGACATGAACGCAAATTATGACGTATTTTTTCATCAACTATTGCTTTATACAGCTAGCTACTGGAGTGTTTTATGTTGCTCCAAAACAACTACATCTTAAAACTCACCTGCAACCAACGTCACGTCCGGAATACAACTCTCTCGGTCTCAGCCCCAAGTTGACATTTCGGCCTCTGTGTTTGTTTGGAATGTCGAAAGGAATGCCCGATATATAGCATCCTTATATAGTTTAAGTTTTAAATATTCGTATCCATATTTCGCCAGAAGTTAGGTCTCTTTCATAGCACTTCTTCGAAAAGTGTAACGAACACAGACGACCGTGCGTGGAAAACTCCGCACGACGACAGTACACAATCTATGCCCTTCCTCTTGTCAAATAGAATTTCTCAGGAAATGTACATCCGTGTTGTTTACGCAGTTGGATAATCATCAAAACTCGAAGTGCAGTTGTCAGTTTCCAATACATCAAAAACGCTTCATTCAAAATATTGCGCTTCGTGTCACTTTCAACTCGATGGCGTATACACTACTGAAAAGTCAACACACTGAGCGGACTCTCTGGTATGACGTAACACCCAGAGACGGCAGACCGCTAAAAATAAAAATATGCATACGAGTGGGCGGGGCTTAAGTGGTTTTAGTTTTGGTGCATATTTATTATTTTTTACGACTATTTTTCGTAAATGGATGGTGCAGCTGTGGTATATATTCATATTTGAATGGTATCATGTACTAAAAATCCATAGTGTTTAACTTGTTTTTAAATCCTTTAAAGCGTTCACTCGTCATGCTGAAGACTGACTGACTGAGTTTGGTTTTACGCCGCTTTTAGCAATATTCCAGCAACATCACGGCGGGGGACACCAGAAATGGGCTTCACACATTGTACCCATGTGGGGATTCGAACCCGGGTCTTCGGCGTGACGAGCCAACGCTTTAACCACTAGGCTACCCCACCGCCCCTCATGCTGAAGACCCGGGTTCGATTCCCTACACGGATGCAATGTGTGAAGCCCATTTCTGGTGTCCCCCCACCGTGATATTGCTGGGTTATTGCTCAAAGCGGTGTAAAACCATACCCACTCACTCATTTAAGTAATATTTTAATTTTTAAAACATACTTGGGTGGAGAGTAAATATTTCATAAGATGTAAATTGTTTTAAAGTTTTGCATGTGCGTTGAACATTGATATAAATTAGCTTGACCTGACTACTCTTAATATGTGGTACAACGTCTTAATGCTGTCGTTAGACTTGGGATTCCTGTGAAATGAATAATTATACTCCCACAGATTCCGGGACATCCCCGACCCCGACGGAAAGACGTTCTACTCCTGGAACCCCTGCTATGGTTTTGACGAGGCTGGATGCCGGGATGTTGCTGTAAGATGAACATTTATGAATATTCAGTACAGATAGGTTACAACGCTGGAATATGAACGATAACGTCAGAAGGATTGACTTTAATAACTTCCTTGCGTTTATCAAAGCTGTCACTTGAAGCGATGTGAAGGCACATTGCTGTAGCGTTGTGAATATAGTTGTATGCCATTGTTTATGACGTCATTAACGAAATTACACCATCATTAGTCAATCAGTTCTCAATTGCCAGTATCCGAGTTCGATTCTCAGATTTTTCCCGACTGGTCGATGAGCACAGTTTTCTTTTTTCCAACATTAATCTGATATGCCTGAAGAATACTGATGTGCCCACCATTAAATGTTGCCAGCTCGACCTCAAATTTATCGTTTATCACGTGCGTATATATGGCAACTGGTCGAAAAGTAATGTGTTTTCTACAAATATATTTGTACGTTTCAGATGTGTCAGATAAAGGATAACGGTGCCACCAGTCAGAGCCTGGGCAACCAGTCTAGTCTGGTGTTCGTGGCTTCCTCTCTGTACGGCCAGGTGTATCAGTACACCAACTGGGGAGGGGCTAACTTGTGAGTAACACGAACAGTCATTAGAGAGGGAAAGAAACCCTTCCACATCCAGAAAAAATATCTCTGTCGGTAGAGTCGCTCCTACAAATCAACTACATCATCTGCGTGTGTCTATAAATTACCTTCAAAACCGAGTGAGTGAGTGAGTTTAGTTTTACGCCGATATAAACAATATTCCAGCAATATCACCGCGGGAGACACCAGAAATGGGTTTCTCACATTGTACCCATATAGGGAATCGAACCCAGGTCTTCGACGTGACAAGCCAACGCTTTAGCCACTAGGCTAACCCACCTCCCCCCGATTAAACAGAATATCATAGGAAACACAAGAGCAAAGACGAAATCACCCGCTCTGTGGCATATATCTATTGCGATGCAAATGTAACAAAATACTTTGATTATTTAAAAGTCACGTGATTTATGTCTTTCCCATTGGACAAGAGACAGGGAAGCATAACAACAAAAGTGATGTTCATTAGCGTGTTCAAGAACAACACTTTTTAACATCTTTTCTGAAATGACACAAAGAACTAATTCCTCATTCCTGTGGAAACCACAGACATTTTACTGACAGGAGTAACTCCAGAACCATGTGGAAATGTTTATCTTGAACTCTGTGTTTATAATGTATTGCAAAAAATCAAAGTGTTTGGCTGTCTTCCCGTGGTCGAATATTGCCTCTATGAAACAGGGTCCCGTTGCACAAATCGATCTTAGCGCTGAGGTGGAGGTAACTCCCATATCTCAACATCAATGTTGTTTAATGGCACCCAGGACCACGTTTTGTCTACGACGAATTTTAATCAAAGCTGATAACAATAAGTCCTGCAGTCCGTTTGGCTCAAAAGCGGACCGATGAATTGCAATCTAACTCGAAAACTAATAAACATAACATACTCAATGAAACGCTGATCATAATCAAAACATCATACCCACTCTGTGAGGTTTTTTCAGAATTTTTGTCCTAAAAATAATAAAGTTGTTTAACAAACTATCATTATAATATTGACACAGTTAACTGTTTGTTACGAGGGAGGAGTGCAGAGAGAAAGGGACAGCCAGGTGTTCGAGAAGCACGTTCTCAGACAAGTTATTTATTCATTAACCTGTGCTGTGCCGTGTCCATCCGTTCTCGAACACCTGGCTGTCCAATGGCTGTATGTTATGTTTATTAGTTTTCGAGTTAGATAGCAATTCATCGGTCCGCTTTTGAGCCAAACGGACCATACGTGATGTTATTATGTAATACTGTTTATCAAATCGTCATTTCGTACTCCAGTTCCGGTAACGTGATCCTAACATGTGACGCAGGTGAAGAAGGCGTTGTGACCAGACGCCCGGATGCAGATTTTCTCAGCGAGTTTGTGAGTAATATAGTGTGTTATCCACTTCTCTATCATTCTGGGTGTCGTTGTACAAAGCAACCTTAGCGCTCAGGTGATCGTAACTCCCTTACCTTAAAACAGATATACGACTGCCGTAGCGCTAAGGTTACTTTGTACAACGGCACCCAGACCGTCAAGATGTTGGTTAGAATTGGTCTACAGCAATACATGGGTTTTTTTCGTAAGAGGCGACTAACAAGATTGGGTGGTCGTGTTCGCTGACTTGGTTGACGCATATCATCGTATCAAATGCGTGGATCAATGTTCATGGTGTAGATCATTGGATCGTCTGGCCCAGATTCTGTCATTTACAGACAACTTCCATATAGCTGGAATATTGCTGAGTGCGGCATTAAACAATAAACAAACAAAACGTAAAGAGTCAGGCTTGCTGTCTTGGGTTGATGCATGTCATCGTGTCCAAACAATGGTCTGGATTGACTGTTCCAGACTCTATCATTTACAGACCGCCGTCATAAAGCTGGAATTTTCTGAAGGTGGTTTTAAACAACATACAAACAAAACAAACGTCATCAAAACTTCAAGGGTTTCGTCTCAATGACGGACCATTGTGGGTCGCTGATCATAATATCATATGGTGCATTGTGTGGTCCAGATTTAGTCAATTACAGGCCGCCGACATACAGAGGTAATATTACTGCATGCAGCGTTATACAATACTTAAAGTAAACACCACTGTCAGTGAGCAAATTTATCTCTGTGAGGAGCTTGCCTGCTAGGAGTGAGTGAGTTGGATTTTACGCTGCTTTTAGCAATATTTCAGCAACGTCACAGCGGGGGATGGGGAGAAGGTGTTATGTTGACATTGTGACACACAGGACTGAAAGTAACCGTTAACATCTGCAGAATCAAAATGTGTGTCCTTATATTGCACTAGCTTCGACACAAGAAATGTGTGCTCAAAGCATTTACATGATCCCTCATTTATTGGATCAATGTGCAGTTGAGATTCTTTCTCAGCTCACTCGGAAGTATACAACAGAATCTGCCTATGAGGCACAGTACCATCTCATCCCACCGGGTACCCATTTAATGCTGAACGCACAGAGGCATTTTATGAACAATGTCACTTACCTGAGGCAACAGAACATGTGTTACATAAGACTTTTTTTTCGCAGTACCTTGAACTGAGAAGCAAGTACGCATGCCCACAGAAGATCAACGCCAGTACCTCATTTCAACCTACGGTCTCCACGACAAGGCGTCAAAGGCCGACAACTCCAGCCTTTATCGGAACAGCGAAAACCCCGTCACCACCTACCACGACCATGGAACCTCTGTTTGACATGAATTCCCTCGGGGCTTTAATGATTGTTGTTTTGTAAGTATCTTACTTCTTTCATGATATGTTCAATATCTTTATGTCCATATATAGTTGGTTGGTTGTTTTTTAACGCGGCACTCAGCAATATTCCAGCTGTATGGCGGCGGTCTGTAAATATTCGAGTCTGGACCAGACAATCCAGTGATCAATAGCATGAGCATCAATTTACACAATTGGGATACAATGACATGTGGCAACCAAGTCAGAGAGCCTTTTAGGACAAGCATGGGTTACTGAAGACCAATTCCAACCCGGGTCTTCACGGGTTTGTAGATATGGAGAGACAGATAGAGAAAGTCTCCTAGGACACCAGAATACGCCGTGCATAGTTACTTCTTTGGGGCTCCTAAGAATACTATGACTGTCGAATTCCAGATATTTGATTTGTCGGCATCTGACGAGTGCTGGGAGCTTTGTCCATGTTGGAGGCAACAGGCATCGCTTCGTTATATGTCCCAAAACATAAATATTGAACTGACTTCTACGTTTATCCTCCACGCGATCTGCTTTCTACTTTCTTAATGATAAGGGACGGTGGCAGGCCTAGTGGTTAAAGTGCTCGCTCGTCACGCTCGTCACGAATGGATCAGTCAATCAGTGCTTAAACTTTGTCTTCGCGAGTTTGATTAGCATGTTCTGCTTTACTGGTAAAATGCACCATCCATGAAAATTCTATGTAATTTTTGTGCTTCCTATGATATTCTGTTAAACGGGGCGGTGGGTAAGCCTAGTGGTTAAAGCGTCCGCTCGTCACGCCAAAGACCCGGGTTCGAGTACCCATCTGGGCACAGTGTGTGAAGCCCCTAACTGGTGTCCCCCGCCGTGATATTGCTGGAATATTGCTAAAAGTGGAGTAAAATTAAACTCACTCCCTCATACCTTCATTTCCAGGGCAGTGCTGACTCTCCTGGTTACAGTGATGTTGATGATGATATTTTACATCTTCTTCCGTCTCGGCAACGTGACGACGACTGTTGCACGACTCAACTCACCAACGCACGACTACGGGAGTAACTCTTACTCGAAAGCGAATGACAAGCAGAGGCTGGTTACACCTTGAGACTGCACTGCGCATGTATCTGTTATGTCGAGAAATGAGAAGTTAACAAATAAAGACAAAGGATTCTTGTTATACATTTTTTTACACTAGTACGAGGTAAAAATCGTGATGGTTATGAAGCGTTAGTAATCAATACCTTGATCGATATCACCAACGCCTTAAAACACACACACACACACACACACACACACACACACACACACACACACACATACACATAGAAAGAGAGGAAAAAGAGACACCACTCCTCGCAGACAGATGAAAGCAGGAAACAACGCCTTAAAACACACACGCGCGCACACACATAGAGAGTGAGGGAAAAGAGACACCACTCCTCGTAGACAGATGAATGCAGGAACCACACAAAAATGGTGCCTAACTCTGAGAGTGTTGGGTCGAATCCCGGATGGGACTCAACCTAACAAAAGTGCTAGAGAAAGTGTTATCCCAAATCTAACGTGTTGCATTCGACCATTTGCTAAATGGCATTGCGTATTCATAGCTTTCGGCAGTGGGAGCCGTGTCAACTTACACTTGTCAGAGGGGTACACAAAGTAGAGGTTCTAGGCTCCCAGTTGTCCGACTTCCAGTTTTATAGACGCCTCGCTGGCTGAGTGGGTTAGATCACCGACTTGCGTCTGATTTTGTTACCTACGTGCTGTACCAGGTACGTGCCATTTGTGGCTTGGGGTAGGATGGCACTGTGTCAGCTGCTGACAGTTGTATCACTCCGGGAAGGTGTGGGTGTGGGGATTGTCTCCCATAACCCCTACAACCCAGTACCCCTACAATTACTTACAACAACACGCGGCATTTACCGGTGTGGCATAATGAACTGACCCAAAGAAGAGATTACAGTGTGAGATTAAGTTGCATAGAGTATACAGATGAGAAGGGATTAAGATGGTGCTGCTGTTAGTAGGGTTTATATAATTAAATAGATTAAAATAAATTTAAATAATTGAAATGAATTAAATATTGAACTAGTTTTATTTAGCTTCCAGGGCCTCCTTTCACAAAGCATTAAGGTGATCGTAAGTCACTAAGGTAACCTTAGTGCAATGTTAAAGAATGGGAGTTAAGGTTAACTTGCAAGTAAAGCTTGCTTCGTGAAAGGAGCCCCTGGTGTAAATAGTGAGGAGACAGAGTTTGCTAATTGTAATAATATCGGTTGTAATTGTGTTGAAGATAGTAAACTGAGAAACTGAAATAAATAATTTGAGATGATTTGGGGTGGCATATAGATGTAGGAAACAAACTACCATGACATCAATGTGGATGGTCTTCGCAATGTTGAATTTGTCATGTCACAGAGAGGTAGCACCCAAGGAGAACAAGGGAGGAGTCTACACCGATGCACACCCTCCAGATGGATACGACGAGCTGCAGGACTGTCTCTACTTCCCCAGAATACGATCCAGGACACTTGGGTTGACGCCATGTACGACACTCCCGACGTACCCAGAGCAGCCTCCTTCAACAACTACATGATGAGAACCTGGGTCGACGATACGGCAAGATTCCGACTTCCCCTGTGGAACTTCTCGACGACAGATCCCTGGACGAACAACAACCTGGAGGGATTCCGCAACCGCCTGAGCAGAGGACTCCCACATCGACATCCCAACGTGTATATTTGTCGAAGTCATCCGGAAGGTGGAACACTCAGAGAGGGCCAAGATTGCCCAGAAAGACTTTGGTGCAGCTGTGAGAAGCAGAAAGATGCGTAAAGAGAGACTGAGCATCGCCCCAAGGAGCAGATTGATCTTGGACTGAAAACACTGTGGCCATCTGCTCGAACCTGGATAGAGACACTGAAACACTCACTCTTAAACCTCACGTCCAAGATTGTTGAACCTTTGTTAAAATAAGAGACACTGGGATAATGTACTTTGGTGGAAATTTAGGGGATAACTACTGTGTTTGACGATTTGGGGACGTATACCAGTGGTTATTTAGCCGCAAATGTAACGTTATATCGGCTCCGCGGAAGCTATAAATTTGCGGCTATATAACCACCGGTATACGTCCCCAATTCGTCAAACACAGTACAGTTATCCCCATTCTAATTCAACTCGTTTTACGCTTTTTTTCGTGAAAGAAATTCATTATGTAAACCAAGTCAAAGTGTTTATAGGTCAAAGGTAAATGATATCACTCCTTGAACTTACACCATCGCAAGAAAAAGTAGTTCCCTTTAAAACTTCAACACGTTTATTATCATCATCATCATAACACATTTGTAATGCGCTGGTATCGATGCAGTCCATGCTCAAAGCGCAGATAGAATGTAACAAATTACACAGTTATAGTTGAAAAGGCTGTCCTGAACAAATGTGTTTTTAACTGGGATTTTTTAAGTGACAAAGTCAGTACAGTCCCTGCGATTATGTGGAAGTTTGTTCCAGGCCACTGGTGCTGCATAGGCAAGGGTCTGTTTCCATACTGCACTGTTCAAGTTTTAGGGACAAGAAGAAGACTTTTATCTTGTGAACGGAGCGAACGAGAAGGCTTGTACGGAGAAAGAAGACTGGATAAATATGCAGGGGCAGTTCCAGACAGACAGCGGAAGACAAGGCAGAGAAGTTTAAACTCAATTCTGAAATCCACGGGCAGCCAGTGTAGAAAGTATAGAAGAGGAGTGATATGATCATTCTTCCTGGATCTTGTCACAATGCGGGCTGCTACATTCTGGACTCTTTGTAGCTTTTGTATCTGAGACTTGGTTGCACCGGCCAACAGACAGTTGCAATAGTCAAGTCTGCTCATGACAAGGGATAGAACGAGTTGTTGCTGTTTCAGTTGTCAGGTATTGACGGATATTGCCAATGTTCCGGAGTGAGATGAAGCAGGTCTTAACGAGATTAGAGACATTATTGTCAAGTGTCAAATTTTAGTCTAGAATTACACCAAGATCTTTGACTTGATCTGTGAAAGGAATATGTGAGTTGTCGAAATCGAAGGAATCAATAGCACACAGATTCCTCCGTTTCACTAGACCCAGAATAGATTCGGTCTTGCTGCTATTCAATTTCAGTTTATTTACTAGCATCCAGGATTTGATACTGACACAGCATTGGGACATGTCTCTCGAGGCAATATCTGTTAGGTCCTTGTCAGGAGTAAAGCATCTGTAAACCTGGGCATCATCTGCATAGTGATGACGATTCACACGGTGCTCATCAGTTACACCTCCGAGCTAGTTATGTACAATGTGAACAGGACTGGTCCTAGGACCGACCCCTGTGGAACACTATACTTGATGCTGGCCGAGTCAGAGTAATGACCATCCATGATGACGGTCTGAACACGACCCGACAGATACGACTGGAACCAAGGAAGAGCCGTTCCGTCAATGGAGAAATCACCCCTGAGACGATGGATGAGTTTGTCATGGTCGATGGTATCAAAGGCACTGCTTAAATCGAGAAGGGTTAATATACCAACTTTGTGTTCATCAACACCACGCCTCATATCATCGAGGACCTTGACTAGTGCTGTCTCAGTGCTGTGATGATCACGATATGCAGACTGGAGATTGTCATACAAGTCGTGTTGTTGGAGATGTTCTGACAGTCTAAGACACACTGCACGTTCTATGAGCTGTGAGACATAGGTGAGGTTATATTCACACTGACTAAATCTGACAATGATGAATAAATTAGAGTGTCATAGCTGGTGACGTCACGTTCCATAATGACGTCCTAAATCTTGTTTCATGATTTAACAGTGTTGGGTCAACAGCCCGTTGCGAGTTAGTTCTTTGAACTTACAATTAAATTTATGATACTGTTTTGTCTTTTTGAACACAAATTCCAACCATTTTAGCGGGATAGGGGAGTTAAACTGACCTAGGGCTTCTGCAAATGACAATGCCCTGAAAAACAGCGTTACCCCAATAGTGTAGTGATACATTCAAAGCTTTGGTAAATAGGTTTTCAAATTGCGACCGTATATGCTGATTATACGGTCGGAAATTTATAGCATTGACCAATCAGAACTCGTGTTACATACTAAGTTGAATTAGAATGATATTTAATATGCTAATGATATTATGATATTTAATAAAGTTAATTAAACCTCAAGTTCAATATTATTAAACTTTTGTTAAAATATTTTTGTTATCATCCATGAAAACCATTCTTTCAAACTCTTAGTTTTGAAATCGTTAAATAAAATCATTCTCTTAATTACTAAATGTTCGGGCTGGTCCATTGTATGAAATAGGTAACAGGCAGGAGATTAACAGTGCACTGAATCATGAACGTTTTGGTTACAAGCTGGATGTAGGAGGTTAGGGAGGTTACCGGTGTGGGTGGCTCAGTGGTGTAAACAAATGAATGTTGATGCAGGTTTAGGAGTAGTTAGCTCAATATAGTGGTAAATAGAATTTCTCAAGTATCTCTAATTTCTAAATTCCCAGGAAGTGTTATGTCCCGGCAGCATAATAAAACTGTTTATAACGCTTTTGTATGCAAAGTTGCACATATACACAACCTCCTACATCTGGCCTCAATACTTCAAACATAGCTATATTTGACTTTTGGAGGCATGACAAAAGTGTTTGTGTTTAGAGTCATTGAATTGTATTTAGAATTGATACACATAAAGGCGAGGATATTTGGATGTAACCGTCTATATTTTGAGGAATCGCATTCCTCAACATGCAGATGTTGACATCCACAAATTCTCGTTTTTATATATGGTTTTAGTTTCCTGTTCATAGGTCAAATAATCTAATTCTGAAGCAAATACCCCAAGCTCAGTAATTCAGATCCAGGTCAGTTGGCCACAACGATTACCTGGAATTTACAGGTAGTTGCTTACCCAACAGGTTTGTCAAGTCAGATTCAGGTGAAAGTATGATCAAATACACAACTGTATATATGTATGTATATGTAAGCTCTAGTCCTTCTTTAAATCCTTAATGTTTACGCCAAGGGAAGAGAAAGCTCTTCAAATAAATGTGAAGGAGGCAATAGAGAGGAACGATGAAAAATGCAGAAGCAATCAAATGTTTTTCAATTCATTCCATTTTTTAAAATATGTAATGTAATCTATTACATGGCGTT